TGTTGACTACTTTCACGTCTTCTTATTTGGTAGAACGTGGATTCAATGCCGTTATGAACCTCATCACAAAATAAAGAAACCGACTAACAACTAGTGCTTGTGGGGATTTGCAGTTGCTACTCACAAATATTGACCTGGACATAAACACAATCATAACTTTCATCTAAATATTAATTTTTTTAAATTTTATTTTAAACGAAAGTTATAACTTCGATAAGTACTTCTTCAACAAAATGTTTCTTAAATTTGTAATTTTTATACTATACATTTATGTAGCTTTCTCTCTTGGGGGTCTGTGGGCAAGTTTTGACTATAAAAAGGGGTCCACGAGTTAAAAAAATTTGGGAGCCACTGGTCTAGACGCTTGTCTGCCTTACGACTCCTCATCTCTCATTCAGCGTCGAGACTTCGTTCTTACCGTCAGGACGGTACTCAGCTCCTGCTACTCTCACGAAAGTATATTTTTGCGCTGGCCTTCGCCGTCATCAATATTAAACACCTTCAACATTGCGAACTTTCGCCATCTTATTGTTCGATTTATCATTTTGCTTAGCTTAGGACTTTTCGTTCATTCTTACTCATTTTTCATCCTAAATTAACATTCGAAAAGTTCAAAAAATGTTCTACTGGGATAGGGCTATGCCAGTACGCCCGAGAAAAGGAACGATAGTTAACCGACGACGTACGTATGTATCTCGCATAACTCAAAAACGAGTAGCCCCAGAACGTGGAAATTTTATGTATGGGACTGCTATAGCATGCACTTGTGCACTTCCCTTCATGGTTGCAGTCGTTCGCACCAACCATATATAAATAAATATATGTATGTGGCGAAAAACGATGAATAAATTGATTAACGAATGGCATTTTAATGTAGACAAACGATTTTAACATTTACGAGAAGTAAAAAGTAGTTATCCGTGAAAGTTTTTTTTAACAGCAGCAGTGTTTTATGCTCCAACGTCAATCGTCCATCATCTAAAGCGGTAATTCCCCTAATTTATTGTTTTGCGCTTTCGGAGCTCGTAATAGAATGAATGACTTCGCGGCTGCTGGATTTCTTCACGGCTGCAAGCGATCGGCACTACATTTATTGGTAAATTGTGCATTTTTTGCTTGAAAGGTGATTGAATTATGTTGTTTTTATATTTAGGTTAAGGTTTTTAGGTCTTTAGCTGGCCTGTATGCAGCAAATAGTTGTAGAATTATCAAGACTTTAAAAGTTGTTTAAGTGCTGCTAAGCCTAACGAAGCCGTCATTCGTTTATATTTGAAACTCTTTAGCAGAATAGTTTTCTACACCATGAGTTTGTTTCTACACCAACGTCAGTGTATTTTTGCCGAGTGGGACCAAAAGTAAACTTTCAGTTTTGTGCACCGAAAAATCTGCCTTCTTGCCATCTGGCCGAATTGCTTGTTTCTACGTAGAAAGTGTAATTTTAATTGTAAATTTTTTTTTAACTGTTTTTAACTATATTTTTTGTTTTCTGCTTTTAAGTATTTTTGCCATGCCACGAAGTGAGAACTGAATTAACTGAATGATAAAAATATCTGTAATGACAATATAAGGTAAATGAAGTGCAGAAGAAAACAAATGTGTGTATTTTAATAGGGCGTACAATGAATTGATGGAGTGTCCACATCAGATTTTTTTTATTTATCTCATTGTGTTCATAATTTTAACGGATATTCGCATTTTTTCATTCAAAAATTTCAATGACGTAAAGAAGGTTTAGCGAGAAAATGAAGCTTCGGAATCCCGCTGCAATTTCTCTAAACTCTCTTCCGAGAATAAAAACAATTTTCAGTTCAGCATCTCGTGATACTTTACCAATAATCGAGCGGTTGAAAATGGCTGAATGATGGTAGTTCGATATGAAATAAAATTACAAAGAACAGACTGGTTGCTTGAGAATTTCTTGGGATTTACCATTTGTGGAATGTAGGTTATGTAATGTTGTATACAGGCATTCAAATGAATGAGCCACTGCCCTTTTCGCAACGTGAGTATGAGCCATTTCCCAGGCCCTTGGTGGAGAACTTTAGCCTCCACGAAGATAAACTTCTCTTACAGACAATTGTCTTGAAATTTGGTACAGTCAATAAATCTTAATCCTTCTTGTTAATATTATGAACTCAAATTTATTTAATTCATTTATTTTATGATTTTGTTTGCATGCGCAATGTTTAATTATTTTTTCTATAATTCATTTGGCAACATTTAACTGCAGTTTAGAAACACTGTTCTAAAGAAATTGAAATGTAATATAACCGTTTGTCAGCATTTCGCACATTGTAACAAATGTTTTCCTGGTTGTTTAATGTTAAATAAATTAAATTTTATGTAGCTCTGCATCACTGGCTTAATAATACTTTATGAGTTCTGCTGCGACGAGGCAAATAATGTGTATATGCTTGTATAATATGTTTCACGTGAAAAACGGCGCTTAGCATATGTGCCGTTCTCTAGCTACGCCATTATTTGTTGGTGTGTCCATTCCAATCTATAATCTTGAGACTAGGATATGAAAATGATGTTTCCAAAACTCTTGGAGGGGTAAGATTTGTCCCTTTGATCATCTCGAGGCACAGCTGAAACAGAACCTTTTTGTAAAATTTTTAATGTTTGAAATGATCTCATCTAAATGATGGAATAGTTGAGAGGAAGAAACTTGACCTTATTGAACTCTAATTCTTGTAGGAAGTTCGTCTTCAAGTCTTGGAGGATGAGCTAGAGTATTATCCATAAGCAACAAAACTTTGAGTTGCAAATTCTTTTCTAAAAGGTTTTTTTTCTCTGCAGAACCAAAAATCTCTTTGATCAATTCGGCGAGCACGATATGAGGGACCTGAGCTTTGCTATAGGACCTCCACGTAAAGTTTAACCGTCTATTCTGAAGTTTGTATTTCTTTAAGAGTCATAGATTCTCGAACCTATATACCAGCTAGGGCTTGACTTAAAAATACTCACTTGCATTAGCATACAATAAGAGACGATCTTTCATGGGCTTGTGATCGGGTATTGTACGCTATTCTGCTGTGATATAGGTCCTCTTTGATATTTTTTCCGAAAAAGCACCGTCACATCGCTGTTAGATGCTAGTCACTCGGAAGCCATGAAATTCTAGAACTCGGCACGAAAGCTTCAGTCGCTTTAGCGTCCGAACTCACAACCTCTCCGTGCTTCACAACACTATGGACGGGATTTCTTCTCTTAAAATATCAAACCATTTCTTGCTTGCTTTGAAGTCTTCTTTATTCTCTGCTCTCGTACCTGACAATTAACGATATTGGCGTATAATGCATTTCATAATCCATATACTGCATCTAACCTCTGATTGCTTCTTTCTTTCTTACTATTGTGCAAATCGTGAACGTTTTATAAAAAATCTTAACGATTTGCATAACTTGTTCGTGATTTCCATCTTCGCTACTGCTGTAATCATTTCTTTCTTCCTGCTGCTTTCGTTTTCAGCTCTACTTCTTATGGCCATTGTTGCAGGTACAATTAGTGAAAAACAATCACTACATTGAGACACACTAAAAAAAAAAAAGGATTTATGCTCACAAAAGGGGGTCATAGGGCTATAGTAATTATGTAATCACAATTCTGTAATATTGACACTAACAGTAAGGCACATTGACTGAGTTTATGAGACGATTAGCTACAATCCCGCAAAAAGAAAGACATTCATCCGCCCCGTTGTGATCAATTGACTCTCGATGACAAAGCATATATATGTATAACTCATGTTGCTAGACGTTGTTCGTTTATCTAGTTAAATCCATTAAAAAAAAATTTCCCGTCTTGTAAAACAAGTTACACACAATCCAAGGTTTTACTTTATGTATCTCGTCAAAGACTTTTTTCTTCATCATCATGATTACGCACAGTCGCTATGATCTTGCTGCCAAATTTCACTATCATGTTCTGTCTTTTTTTTTTTTTTTTTTTTTTTTTTTTTCTTCGGTGTTAAATCAATGTTCTTTCACTGGATTATCGAATTTCACCGTTGAATTAAAATGCATGTCTAATAAACTCCTTTCCATTCCTGCAAAATTTACTACTGCTAAACAATAGCTCTTTCTTCCATTACCTGTAACATTCACAATAATAATAGGATTGCTTGCCATTTCTTTCTTCACAGTTCATTGTTTCAAAAGTAGGAAATTCAGTTTTGAATTAATTTTCTCAATTTTTTGTTTGTCAGAGTTCTAATAAATTTTTTAAATAATGATTTTAAAATAATTTATCCTTTTAATTCCTTGAAAGTTTTAGCTTGGTGACAGAACATATTTTCTTATAAATAATAATTAATAAGTTAGCTTCCTCCTGATCAAGGGCTGACTATTGAATAATCGCAAGAATGTATTCGTTTTATATCGATTTTATTCTTAATTTTGCTTTGAATGCAGATGATTTATATTAACGTTGACAATAGGCTATAAATACTAATTGTGATCATATTTTTTTAAATATTGCTTTTAAATATAAAAATTGTGCTTTAGATTGCTTGGTAATTAGTGTCACCAGATAGCAAGTATTTGTCTCCAAATTATATCGCTATATAAACTTACTTAGAGAATTATCTTTATCTCTTTATTTTCAGTAATTGTATATAATACAATCAGAATATATTGCTATTCTTATTTTTCTAAATTAAATCATAAAATAAAAAAATTAACATTTTGTAGGATCTCAGAATGCATTTCAGGTTAAGAGAATAAAAAAAAAAAAATCCACTTAGAATAAATTAATTTTGAAGTTAGAGATTAAACACAGAAAATTAGAGATTTAAGTATAAAAAAAAAATAAATATTGGGTATTAAAATGATCATTTCAAATATTCTTTTACAAATTAAAGTTGTTTAAAATAAAGTTTCTTTGAATAATAAACATTTTCTTCTTTTAAAATTTACAGCATGTTCTTTCGATCAAACATTAATTTTTCGAAATGGCAACAATCTTAGATCTCGAATCTCGCTCTAGCGCATGCAAAATAATGAATAATCTTAAGAATTTATTCATTTATATAAGTTCTATTTTTCTTAATTTGACGCAGACGATTTTTATACTAAAGTAGGTGATGCTTTAGTATGAGTAATACATATGACAGAAGGAAGATTTGGAAAGGAAATAAGATATTACTTTTGAACATGAAATTCCCAGAAAAGTTATGGTCTATCATAAATGAAAGTAATTCTGATGCAATAAGATGGGGTTCTACTGGAGATACTCTGATTTTGAAATATCCGAAATTCCAAGAAGAATTCCTTAATCGAGATGATGTTTTTAAAACTAGGAATATTGCAAGCTTTGTGAGACAGTTAAATCTCTATGGATTTCGCAAAGTGAATCGTTATAATGAAGATCTTCATGAATTCAAGCATCCTTTATTCATGCTGGACCGAAGGGATTTATTGGATTTAATAAAAAGAAAGTCAGGAAACGTTTTTAGAAAACATGTTACTAAAGTTTCAAAAACCAGGAATTTCACGCCTGTAAAAAAATATCAAGTAAGTACTCATTTTAAAATTAATAAAGATATGTGTATGATATTTTTTAAATATGGGCTTTTCGATAAAATCTAAACATGGATATTTTGAAACTAATCATTGATATAGAAATATTTTCATATGCAATTTCGAACATTATACTATTTTAAGTATTTCTATACTTTAAATTAATTAACGATTAAATTGATCATAAAATTAATTAATTATACTTTTTTGATAAAACTTCGCATTTTAAATTAAAATCGAACTGCAAAGAATATTTTTATTAAAATAGCCTTGAAAATAAAACGATATCATATTAAATATTTTCTGTTCAAAAATAGTTTTTATACTTAAATACTGTTCAAATATGCGCTATGTGGAATTTAATATTTAATTTAATTTGCAAAAATATACCATTTAAAATTCATAATAAACCTTTATCAGTTAATAGGAGATGGGCTTCTTAAACAGTAAATTTAGTGTAATTTAAATACGACATCATATACAGTGTCTCACAAAAGTGATGGGACACTTGTGCTTTACAAAAGGAAACCGTAATAAAATAAATTAAAAAAACATGTAAACATTTTTTGTGGGTGTGTTTCATACTTAAATTTAGTAACAATTATTACATAACATACATTTTCTCAAAATATTAAAATACTAATTTGATAAAAATACAATTGTTTAGAACGGAGCAAAAAATGGCTCACATAAGTGATGGGACACCATTAGATACTACTACGTACTACAATAAAAATATTTTTGGGGGTTTTTATTTTTACTCAAAAGCAATTGGCAGTAATTTATAAAATCGTCTGCAGTATTTCTCTCCAGTTTGTTTTGGAATTTTGTGTTTTTTAGCTCTGTGCAGCCATGAATGCTAAACGAAAAGAAACTTTGCCTGAAGTTCGAAAATTAGTTATTAATTTGCATATTGAACGTAGAAAATCTATAAGAAAAACTGCTGAAACAGTTAACTTGAGTCATTCAACAGTTTTTAATATCATTAAACGATATAAAAAAATCATATGATTCAGGATAAAAGAAGACCTGGCCGAGCATCAAGGCTATCCGATGGAATAAAGCGAATTATCGTTCGAAATATTAAAAAAAAAATCCAAGAATGGGTGCTCCTAAAGTTGCTGCTGATTTACAAGCATTATATGGAGTAATTGTTAATCCTGAGACTATTGGAAGAGTAATTCGATTTGCTGGATATCACGGTAGAGCAGCCGGGAAAAAATTCTTCGTAAGAATAGAAAACTCAGACTGGCTTTCGCAAAATCCAACATAAATAAGAATTCTGATTACTGGAATGAAGTTATATTTGTTGATGAGAGTAAATTTAATATATTTGGTTCTCACGGTAGAATCTTGGTGTGGAGAAAACCCAGGGCAGAATTTCGTAAACAGAACTTGGTGCCAACCGTAAAACATGGTGAAGGAGGAGTTATGGTATGGGGGTGTATGTCGTCCGCAATCAAGAATTCGAAAACATACCATTTCTTCAAAACAACAATTAAAATCGGTGCCTCAAGAAGAATGGGGTAAAATCACTCCAGAAATCACAAAAAAAAAAAAAAAAAAAAAAAAAAAAAAATTAGTCGAATCCATTCCAAGAAGATTAAATCATGTTTTAAAAGTAAAAGGAAATCCAACAAAATATTAAAACCTTTTAAAAAGTAAAATTTTTGGATAAATATTTGATGGAAAAGTAAGTGTCCCATCACTTATGTGAGCCATTTTTTGCTCCTTTCTAAACATTATATTTTTATTAAATTAATATTTTAATAAAATGTATATTATGTAAAAATTGTTACTAAATTTAAGTATGAAACACACCCACAGAATTTTTTAAATGTTTTCTTAAATTATTTTACTACAGTTTCCTTTTGTAAAGCACAAGTGTCCCATCACTTTTGTGACACACTGTAGTAGTTTGAATAGGAAATTTAATTCATACGTGATATTGTTTCCATTCCACATACAGAAATTTTTATTCGTTATTTCGTTTTTCCTTTCTGCAAGGGAATTTGAAATAAGTGCGCTTTTAGAACAGGATATTTTACAAAACGTGCATTGAGCGATAATTTTATTATTTCCATGATGCTTATATTATTTTCTAAAGTAACATAATACTTTAGGTAAAAATAACACGCCGAACAAATATTAATTTAGAAATCAAACAACAGAAATCAGCGTTATATTTTCAAATTTTCACAAGATTGTTTTCGATGCTTTTACCGAACCACCATTCTCAGCTGCCAAAAAGCAAATAAACGAGATAAAATATAGTGATAAGAATGGCTGGACGGGAGTTAAGCTACTGGCGCCGTCTATTGATGAAACAAGAAAACTGAAACATAATTTCCTTAAAGGCTGGAGGTAAAGATTGAATGGAATTAGAGTCGTTAACTAAAACAGAGATATTTTTTAATATGAAAGGCTTCTAGAAAATCTTCACCAATGGAAGATGTTTGAGTAATTTTGGCTGCAGAAAATGGAAACCGTGATTTTCGGGCCAACAATGCTGGGCAACAGAGGATTTCTGTGTTTCCTTTTTCGTAATATATGCCTCATGTTATTTAACGCCAAATTTTAAGGCTTTGATAGTTTGACCAATGTAAAATAAACCACACTGGCAAGGAATCCTGTAAATATCCCAGGAATTCTTATCCGGAATGGGGTTCTTAAGTATGAAACTCAGAATTCTATTGATAGGAGAATAAACGACCCGAAAATTAAATTTCTGTAAACTACGTATAATTTTATAGCTAATTGATGGAAAGAAAGGAATGACAACAGAATTCATATAATCTCCTAAAACAAGAGTGTGCCTTTTGAAGTGTTGAGGTGATATTTTATTAACTACTTGGTCAACAGTGTTGCGTTAAAAGCTCCTGTCAATAGCTACTGCTTTTAAATAATTTAGTTCTTGATCAAGAGCCAATTTGAAGGAGCAATCTTGAAGTGCACGGCAAACAAAGAAATAAAATGAAGCTAACTTTTGTTTAGTCGGATGACATGATCTGAAGTGTGGTGGAAGGCAAACCGATGAAGGTTTACGGTAAACAGTAGTACTGAAGTTGGATGTGTTACGTGTGACCAAAATGCCGAGGAACAGAAGAGAATTACGTCTCAAGTTCAAAAAATGAACTGAAAAGCAGGATCAATAGAATTCATTGTTAAAAGAACTTTATTTAAATCATCCTTATTACCTTCAAACAGGGTAAAAGTATCGTCCACGTAGCGGAACCAAACCGGGAAATTTAAAGTTTCAAATAATTTTGATTCATAATAATGCATGTAGATATCAAGATGCATATAGATATTAGGTTTAAGAGGGCTTCCCATGGCTAATCCCTCAGTTTGCTTGTAATACTTATTTTGGAAAACAAAATGCGTTTGTTTCAAACAGAGTTGTGTAAGGAAAATGAGCTCGTCAATTTCGATGCATTAGAAATGAAATTCACGAGGTCTGGTTTCTAGCCATCTTAATGCATCCTCCATTGGGACACTAGTGAATAATGATTTTACATCAGAAGAAACTAGTAAATTTCCAGGAGAAATGCTTTTAACTTTTTTTACAAACTCTATTGAATTTTCTATGGTGTAAATATTATTATCTAATAGAATTGAAAATCTAGAAACTAAATATTTAGCTAACGGGTACGAGGCAGTGCCTAAATTTGATACAATAGGTTTGAAAGGATTACCTTTTTTATGAATTTTGGGAAGAGCTTATAATCTCGCACAATTCGCAACAGATGCGATATGCGATTGTTTTAAGTTCGTCGAAAGGATTTGTGACGATCTGATTGAAATTTTTCTTTTCTGGAGAGGTCCGAACGTGAAGGGTTTTAGGGATCGGATTATATGATTCTTCGTATTCCAGCCATTCTTATCTTATCACTATACCTTATCTCGTTCATTTGCTCTTTGGCAGCTGAAGATGATGGTTCGGTAAAATCATCGAAACTAGTCCTTTGAAAATTTGCAAATATAATGCTGATTTTTGTTGTTTGACTTCTAAATTTATAATACAATATTTTTTTCTATTTATTTTGAATTTAAAGTTTCAAAAGTACAGCAAATTTTTACTGCGGCTCACATTTGTTTTCATACACTTCTATTTTTCAGCTTTATTTGTAAACTGAAGTACCTGGCGTTGCCTAGTGTTTATGCAGAGGTTTCATTTAGGAAATGGGGTAGTTTCTTTAAAATTCTCAAGTAGACAACGTGTTTCCTCTTATTTTGATTCAAGATGAATTGCGCAAAATTTTATCAAGCTGGAATAAAACGTGTCTAGAGGAAAAAATTATCTAGATTAAAAACAAACATATTTATCGCAAAGCTTGAAGGCACACAGTGTTCTTCGTTTGCCTGCCCGAAGCTTAGAAATAAACTATCCTACAGGCCGACTCTTGAGTAGTGCCACTCCTATATCCAATGTCGTCGTTCGTCTCACCACAGTAGGCGCGTCTATTTTTGCTGCAGTGTCAAGGAAAGTCGCATTAATGGTCGCCATGCTGAGAATCCATTGTGCTCTAGACGTTGCCGTGCTCTCCGTGCGGACAGCGCCCTGCCAGTACAGCTTTAATGACGCTGATTCAAATTGCGGAAAATGCAGAGATATTTGTAAGCGTGCCGCAAGGTGTCACTCAAAATACACGGCGAGCCGAAAGTCTTGTCCAGAGTTTGAAGGTAGGTGAGGAGGGATGAAAGATCTGGGATTCCCCCAGTTGTTCTCCCTCAAAGTTGGAGGAGAAGCTTTATAGTTAGCAAGACCCGGCCATACTTAATATACCTACGGAAATGCACAGCTTCCTATCTTGGTTGAACTGTACCTGTCCATGCGGACACTTGTCTTCCACGCGAGCCAGTTACCAGACCCAGAGTACGTGACGTTGTTGTACGATCTCGCAAGGCTGAGAGGACAGCGTGACTGTTCTCTTGGGCGTTAGTGGTCTAGGGCCGCTGTGATCCTGCATGGCGTTCCGTATGGCCTTCCTGTACCCATACATTCCATATTCGTCTGACAGTTATAGGATTCCGAGCAGCAGTGTCACAAAATGATAAACCGCAGTCTTGAAGGCCGCGGCAGAATTCCGACATGTGTCAGTACACGTGTTTCTTCTCATTGCACGAACCATACCATTGATCATTACACAAACAATAAACGTTTAAATGCGATTTCCAATTGAAAAATTGTGCAATCTTTCCATTTTTACCCAATGTAGATGGCGTTATTCATACTTGCTTTGTGCGCTTGCTCTTGGAAAGCTAATTTTTTGCATATCCCACCATGCAAAAATGGATTCCTTTCATGCAAATTTGACGTTTGCTGCATGTCGCCTTCTCAGTGTAGCAGTTTAAAAAGGCTAGCAGATGACCCAACCTTGATGGTAATACCCATATTACGAAGGTTATAATGTTGGGAAATTCTATTAACTCCTTTTAGCCTAGTCGCATAACTCCAAAAATATTATCTTATTCTAATTCCAAAACTTTTTTCTTCATGAAACTTCAAAAACAGTTAATCTTGTTATATTCATGAACTGGAATCTACTACTTAGATTATGAAAGTTCAGATTTCTTCAAATTCTCAGCTATAACTGCAAAGTGACCACGTATATTATTTTTGCAAATCGGCATCAAAAGCAAAAACTTTTGTACCGTCTGTACCCGTAGCAGGGATCCCATATAGCTATAATTTTCAATTTGATGAGAAGCTACTTTCTTGAACTAAAGTCTATTTTACGGTCTTAGACTCTAATGATCTTACCACTAATTCGAATGAAATAAACTTTGGTTTAGGCTTAGCCAGCCCGTGAATTTTCCAACATTCGTTTGCTTGGATAACGACGCACATACCTTCTGGCACTTCTTAAGACATTAACGTTTCATTGACTGTCGATAAAGTAGGTGTCACAATATTCACGAACTGAACACATTATCACCTTGCAAAACATACTGGTAAATTGAGAGTTTTACAATTTAAACGACGGCTTAACGTCATTCCACAGCGCTCACGCATGCCTCGATATGCGCGGTGGATATTTTGAATATCTTATGTTAACATATGTAAACATCGTTGCTCATATTTCCATTAAAGTTTCCTTTTTTTTTTCTTGCAGCGGATATAATATCATACCTTTTTTTTTTCATTTATTTCAAAAACTACAGGTCATACATTAACAGTTCTTTAGGCATTTTTATGTATTCCCCGTGAGGCATCAGTCTGTGCAGAGTTCGGACAGTCTTGATCGGACACCTTGTAAAGCAGTTAGAATGTTTTCATAAGCCTAAACTTTTTTTTTTTTAAAGACAAGCTTGTCAGTGATTTTATTTTAGTAAAAAATGATTACATGTAGTTTAAACAGAGAGTTTCATAATTAAAAATGAGATTTTAAGGACCCTGGAGTTTGGTTTTAGGGAGTGATGACTAGAAGACCGATTGGTTCGACATTTCCGATGAATACTTAATTAAGAAATGTCTAGCTAGTTGGACAAAATAAATAAATTTAAAAAGTTGTGCTTATTTTGTAAACAAATCTTAAAACTTTTATTATCATTCAAGAAGACCAGTTTCGTCATTTTCAATACAGAATGTTATATTTTAGGTCTCTGTATAGTATTAAATTTACTCCGAAGTTGGAAATTTTCTTTTTATGAGTCATAAAACTAACGTATTATTAGCTATAAAATTCAAATTAAAAGCAGTTTTAAATTAATAAGATTTTATAAGCATTAAAATATCTTTCATTAAAATTTTAGTTTTTTTTTTTTTTTTTTTTTTCTTTGAGTCTAAAGGGCGTTAGCAAAGAAGGGCTATCAATTTCATTTTGGCATTTTGCGTCGAAAACTTTAAATGTACGTTTCACTTTTCAGATTGTTGCCACCAAATATTAGAGCCCATGTGTTATATTTAAAAGAAATTAAATAATGAAGAATTTGCATAAATATATGTATGTTTCTCGCATTGTGATAAAACAACAGTACCTAGAGCCATCCAGTTTTGAATAACATCCGAATGATATCCTCCGCATACGAGCATCCGGAAGCCCTAATTTTGAATTTGTTTTATTATCGATTTCATATTTTGTCAGACATTAAAGAATTTTTGATTCAGAAACTCAACGATTTCAAAGCGAGCAATGACAACACTGTACGAAAAAAAAAAAAAAAAAATATCTCCAGCTCGCGAGACTGTGTATCGGAAATTCTAAACATATGCCCATTTTAAAATTACTTTGCGATATTGCTTTTGAATTGAATTTTATGGTTTAGGTGTGAAGAACATGATATTTAATAAATAAAAGTACTACACAAAACGTTAATAAAACGTTCCTTTGGGGGTAATGTAAAATCTGAAAGTTTACAGATATTTTTTTTTCTTTCTTTAAATCTGCTACTATAGTAAAATTAGTCTTTCACTGTGTCTTTTCAGGCATTTAAAGATTCAGAAAACCAATGTGATGAAGCAAATTTGAATACTGGAAAAGAAAAACAAAGGTTTACTTTAAATCCTTTACCGGAACCAAACATCATGCACTCAGGTAAAGATGTTTGGTGGAGTAATATTTCCCCTATTCCCTTGCCTTCTTATCTAACTCATCCTTACTATCATAATGATATAGCTACTCAAGGTTGGGTACCCGCTGATGCCAACTTTTACAAATCTCAGAATCGAAATAATGGAAGTCCATTAAAGAAGGATATAAAAAGAGATCATACTTATTATGATAATGCTAGTATACAAGAAGACTATGCTAACACACCCAATGGGAACAGAAATATGTATTTTATGTTTATGCCTGGTTACGCACCTCCGCATAATCTTAACATGTACCCTAGTCCAGGATTTTACAGTGGAGTTCTTCCTGTCCCAGGAATGCCTTTACCTTTACTACCTAATAACAAGAATAGTGAAATGTATGGAAACGGAGTTTATAAAAATTGAGTGCAGCAGAAATAGTAATGTATTAAAGTGGCTAATGGCGCATTTGGCATTGTGCTTACTTTTGGAGCTAATTCATATGTATTACGAGAGTGAAAAAGATTACCAGATTTTAAAGTACTTTTTATTTATTGACCGTGAAAATTTATTGGAAAAAGTCGGTTAGTAATAGAATTTCTCTTCCAAAAAACGTTATGAGATTAATTTTATTTTTTGTTTTCCACTCTAAGTAAACTGTACTTCAGATTTTTATTGTGTGGATACTGAAAGAATGATAATAATCTGTAACATATGTTTAAAATTCAAATAAAAGCTTAACTAATTTTAAAAAATAGTTCTGTATGACTTTCGTGATCTGTTGAATATGCTTTTTCGAAAAATTATATTTTAATTCTGTCGAAATAGCTGAAGATTTTAACTTATATTTTTTGTAAGTAAGAAGATTGTAATAATAAATTTTGCTGAGACATTTTATTTCATTTAAATATGAAGATTCGAAAAAAACTGGGATAACGGCTCCGAAATTCTAAAACATCCACAAATAAACTATAATATAAAACCGTCGAAATTTCAAAAGGAACTGTAAATAAATAATTATGCAAAATGGAAAAAAACATTCCTTGTAAAGTAATACAAATCATTTATGCTGTTTCAGGCCTTTTATAACAAGGCAGTTGCCAAAATATTATAATCTTTCTGGAAACTATGTAAAACAGATAAGGGCAATATTCTGGATATTCTGTTGATATGTATAAGATTTCGTCAACGGCATTAGGTACATATCACAGGAGCGGATAAGATCACTGAACACTGATATTTCTGACTCACCAGCGGCCGCATGGTAAAGTTGCCTGTTGTTCGACCCGGGTTCTAATTCCAGCCTGTATTCCAGTGTTCAAACACACCGAGAGTTTCTTTGATTATAGCAGCTGCGCAGGCGAGTCTTGCCTCGAGATCCATTTCAGACACAACAGGATCTTGATACACGACACTTTTGATGGCTTCCCACAAAAAGAAATCAAGGCTCGATAAATCCGGTGAGCGTGGGGGGCCAGGGAACTAGTCCACCACGCCCAATCCATCGATGCAGGAATGATCTGTTCAAATGGCTACGAACATCCAGTCCAAAATGAGTCCACTTCTTAGTGACCCGTAATTGCACAAATTTTGATGTAGAAATGCAAACAAACTGTGGTGTGGTTGATGTCTGTCGGAGAACCGTTCTCGATAAATACGTGCAGCATTCGACCATTATCCTCAGCTGTTCTATACAAGCTTCTATTCTGCAAGCTCCCGGTTCGTATAGCGTTCCATGCTCTTCGTATGGTACCTACCGCTCGAATGAGACAATCCTCACTTTCATCTCTTATATACAGCACCCCCTGGCGGCATACCGGGACGTTTCTGGGAATGGGTTCCTATGCAATTCTTAATCCTTATGAAGTGCCATACTTTCCCCAGAAGTTTATCGCAACGTTTACGGGACACCCTGTATATATATATGTGTGTGTGTGTGTGTGTGTACCCATTCTGTTACTTGACACAGAGAGCTCAGTTTTTTTTTTTTTTTGTCGTCTTATATGTTGGTAAATTAGGTATTTTTTTGCTATAAAAATGATTGAATTATGTTAATCTAATGTTCTGTAAAGGTTCCTATGCTTTTAGTTAATCTGCATGCAATAGATGTAGAATTATCATCAATTTAAAAGTTGTTAAAGTGGGGCTAAGTCTTTTTTTTTACCATAGCAACCATATTTGTTTACTTTTGAAATCTGAAAAGTACACTATAATTAATTCTTTCTGCACCTTCAGAGTCTTTTTGCCGAGTGGGACCAAAACAAAACTTTTAGTTTTGTGCAGCGAAAAATGTGCCTTCTTTCCTGCTGACTGAATTGCTTTTTCTGCGTAGAAACTGTAATTTTAATTGTAAACAATTTTTTTTAATAGTTTTAACTGTATTTGGTGTTTTATGTTTTTTATATTTTTCAATTTTTAATGAACATATTTAAGAATTTTTTTATATTTTTGCCTTGCCGTGAAGTGAGAACTGAATTGATTGAACGAGAAATATATCTATAATGGAATTCGAGGATATAAGTTTAAATGAAATGCATAAAAATGCGTATAATTTAATATTCCGTACAAGGAAGTCATGTTGCGTACACATCAGATTTTTTTACTCCCTTTTACGAAGTAAAGGAACTATTGTAATCGCGAAAGATTTCGGGTATCATATTTTAACGAAAATATTCATTTAGATTGCTTTTGAATCACTCGGTCAGAATAAAAAACTTTTTTCCGAAAACGGATTGTAAAACGGATTTAAAATGTGTCAGAACAGAGTTTTTTCGTGACGTCTATCCGTACGCACTTATGTATGTATCTCGCATAAATCAAAAACGAGTAGTATTAAAACGTTGAAATTTTATATATAAGACTGCTATAATACAAGTATGTACTCGTGCATCTCCCTTTTTGGTTGCAATAGGGCTCACTAAATGTGCGTATATATATATATATATATACCCGTTTAGTTATCCGGTTTGGCGAGTTCAGTTTTTTATTCTTATGTGTTGGTAAAAATGTGCTTTTTTGCTTTAAAAGTGATTGAATTATGTGGTTCTTATGTTCCGGTTAAGGTTTTAGTGCCTTAAATTAATCTGCATGCAATAGGTGTAAAATTATCAACAGTTTAAAAGTTGAGTGGACTAAGCCTAATGTGGACGCCATTTTTTACATTTGAAACTCTTAATAGAGTAGTGAATTACGTTTATTTGTGCACCGACCTGTGTCTTTTTGCCGAAGTTGGACCAAAAGTAAACTTTCAGCTTAAAACACCAAAACTTGAGTAAAAGTAATTTTTTATATTCATAAAGAAAACTTATGGCTTAATAAAAGGTAAATTAACTGCTAACAATAAAATACTTAACAGATAAATAAAAGAGTGGCCGCATTTCCCCTGCCCTGAAACTATGAAATTCCCCACTGAAATTTTATTAATTAAACACCCTTAAAATTTTATTTTCATAGTGTTTAAAAGTATTTTGATAAATAAAAGCTTTCCTTACGTACTCGAGATTTTTTTGGTATAAGAAAATTTCATTATGAAATTAGCTGAAAAATATTAAATTTAGAATTAATATTTACATTAGAATTATATTATAAATAGTTCAGTAACCTCAAATATACATTATAAAATGAATTTAAGTTAATCTGAAGCTCTTAAAATTACGTCCCCACGCAGCACGGAAATCTCTTGGAAACTCTTTATCGCGTGAAAAAATTCTAATTTTTCACATTTCAGGTTTGGCAGGTATGCTGTTTTATTCCTAACTCAGATTTTTTGTCTTATTTCTTTTCTTATAATCTTGACTGAAGGTTCTAAATTACACTACTGACAATAAAACGGAATTTAAGTTTAATTTTTACTTCCATGTACGAAGTAAAATGGAAGTATTGGAATCGCGAAAAGTTTCAGGCAGCATATTTCAACGAAAATATCCATTTTGACCGCTATCGAATGCAATTTCGATGTTTTTGCGTGACATCTGTACTAAGGACAGAATAAAAGACTCTTTTCCTCCAAAAAATTATAAAACTGCTTTAAAATGAATTCTGAAGAGAATTTTTCGTGGCGTCTGTACGAACGTATGTACGTACGTATCTCGCATAACTAAAAAACGAGTAGCCTCAGAACGTTGAAATTTTGTGCATAGGACTGCTATAACATGTAGATGTGCACCTCGTATTTTGGTTGCAATCGGCCGCACCAAACGTATATAAATATATTTATATATACGTATATCCACTCTGTTACCCGGCTCAGTGACCTCAGTTTCTTTTTACTCTTATATGTTTGTAAATTGTACATTTTTTGCTTTAAAAATGATTGAATTATGTTGTTTTTATCTTCTGGGTAAAGTTTTATGCCTTTAGTAAATCTGTATGCAATAGTTTGACAATTATCAACAATTTCAAAGCCGTTTAAGTGCCGCTGAGGCTAATAATTTTTTTGATGGCGGCCATTGCTTGTTTACATGTGAAACAGCAGACTAGTCGATTTGTTGCCAATCTAGAGAAACTTAGCTTCGCAACAACAAAGATAACGCCTTCATTTATTATTGTGAATTAAATCATGCGTAATCCTTTCTGGAATTTTTTCGAGGAAATAAGTGTTTAAGATTTACTTCGTAATTTTTAATATATATATTTTGAGTTTTTATGCATTTTTGGCTTGTCGCGAAGTGAGAATTGAATTAATTGAATGAGAAATACTCAATCGTCTGTGAAAATCTGTTTCTTTTTTGTTTTGTTTGCTTAATTTCTTTTATACATCATTCTAGATTTATTATAGTATTTGAATAGAACATGTGGCAACGATTAGATAATTCTTTAAATGATATAAATTTTCTGCATTCTAAATTATAATATGAACGAAATATAATACTGTTAAATGAATCTAGTGCCAGAGTGTCGCTATGGTAAACAAATAGAGTGAATTTTAAAGAATGCATTTATTCTATTGTGGTTTATACGCTGTCGGCGAAGTAGATTTAATTCAATCTTATAAATGTAAATGAAATGCAAGAAAAACTGTGTGTAATTTTATATTCCGTACAAGGAAGTCATGTGGTGTACACATCAGATTTTTTTAAATATGTCTTAGTGTAATTTCCTGTATTAGCTTCATTTACAAAGAAAGGACTCTCCTCTTAATTTATTAGTTTAAGGGGTTTAAGAGATCGAATTTAATTTTTTAAAAAAAGCTAGAGTTAAAAACTTTTTTCTCATTCCTCTCATATTATTTTTAGCATCAAGATACATAAGACTGAAAAAAGGAAGGGAAAAATATTAGCTTCATAAAAGGAAATTTGTTATAAAGATAAAAGTGTCATTTCTTTACCTATTTGTAATTTATAACAACAATAAATGATATTTTGATACTTGTTATTTGAAGTATCCACCAAAGGGAAGGATTCCATTTTTTTAGCTTAAAGTCATTTTTACATACCTTATCCAAATAGCGATTGAATTGGATCGATTAGATGAAAGCAAAGTATTCTAGGACAATCTGCTTAAGGAGAGGAATGCCTTCCTGGAAGACTTCCTAAAGGGAATTGGCTCGTATCTATGTTACGCTTGAGAAAAAGCTCGAAAACTCCCGTGCGTTTATACATAATTGAAGTATTTATGTCTGAATGTCTGCTTTATCAATTAATTATTTTACTCTCTTGCAAAAGAACTTAGTTCATGTAGGAAATTTGCTAGACCCGTTTAAGTTAAGTGATGTTAAACTAATGCGCAACCAGAAAGTATTTAAAAAACAATAAATAAGCGAAAAGTTGAATTTTGGGTTATACTTCTAGTATAGTAAAAGGAATAAATAATGTTCTCTTCTAATTGAGAGAAAAGTATAAATCTGCCTCTCTAAGAAGTGGGCGACAAAAGGGCAGATAGCCAAGTTGAGACTCGTATAAAGCCAACTAAAAGCAGAATTTAGCTATGTAAAGCTTTATGTATTTCACGGAAAATGCTCATAAAAGCTGCTTGCTTAAAATTAAGTTAACACTCAGAAAAAAAAAAAAAGAAAAAAAAAAAAAAAAAAGAGAGATCTGGGTTTATGTATCCGCGTCGAAACCTTCATTCGGAAGTCATTCGCCAATCTAAATACGTATTCAATGTATTACACATCGCTCTGCTGCAGAGAGAAGTGCGTGTTTGCTTGGTCACTCCTACTATAGCCAGTTCAGGAAGTTGTGTAACTCCTTTATCGATGTTTCCTGCTTTGCCATTTACATTTTCTGTAGTTAAACGTGCTATACGAGTCAAGGTCTCATACGTTCAAGTTCTGTGATTCGTTATAAGCATGTGGTATTTAATTGTGGGTGCTGTTTTATTCGGTAAGTCGCTATTTATATATATGTATCTAAGTTTTATGAAACAAGTTATTTATTTGCTTTACTATGGAAAGTTGACCCGCCCAAAAAAATAAATAAAATCCTCGAAAGTTTACTTTTTAGCTGATATTCATCTGTATGAATTTAATATTTTGTAAATAGTTCTGATTTTGATGTTTTATAAATTATATTTTGTAGGATACTGACATTTTATAAATAACGAAGCAAATAATTAAAAAAAGAACTGAAAGCTTTCAAATTTTATATAACGCCCAAAGGGGCGTTTTTTTACGTTTTGTGTGTTACCTTATTAAATAATCATGTTCTTCACACTTAAACCATAAAATTAAATTCAGCAGCAATATCACAAAATATTTAAAATAGCATATCTTTAAAATTTTCGATACACACGTGCTGGAGATACACGTTCTCGCGTGCTGGAGATAAAAGTGTTTTTTTTTTTTTTTTTTTTCCCTCCGTACAGTGTTGCTTTGAAATCGTTGAGTTTTTTAATCAAAAATTCTTTAATGCTTGACAATATATGAAATAGATAACAAAACAAATTTCAAATTCTGGCTTCCAGATGCCCATATTCGAATGGAAGATGACGTTATTCAAAATTTGATGTCTCTAAGTACCGTTATTTTTTCACAGTGCAAGAAACATACATACATTCATGCAAATTCTTAATTATATAATTTCTTTAAATATATTGCAGGTCTCTAATATTTGGTGGCTACAATTTGAAACGTGAACTGACGTTTATAGTGAACTGACACAAAATGCGAAAACGAAATTAATAGCACTTTGAGCTAGCAAATCATACAAAAAAGGTTTACGTTAGGAATAAATCAAGTAACATGCATATTAAAGTAAAATTGATTAGATTTGCTAGTATTCTAACTTAATTTAAAAAACTCTGAGCATTTTAAAACAGTTGTTATTATCGTCTGCCTATAAAATATTTATTTATTTTAATATATGTACGTCAACTTTATACGAACGATATTAGGATAATTTGTAAGTAGTAACAATATTTAATTTCAATTTTTTGTAGTTCTAAAATTGGTCTAATTATAGTCTTTAAATTTGTGTATTACAATGCTAAATCCTTTCCACTTTGGCTCACCAGCGGCCGAGCGGTAAAGTCGCTGAACACTGGTAGTTCGGTCCGAGGTTCGAATCCCGCGAACAGGCTGGCTGCATGGGCGTTTTCGTGGTTTTCTCATGTGTAACGTGTATACGAGCCAGTTTACCTTAGAGAGTCCTCCACGAAAGCATCCCTCCCCTTAGGCAGATAGCCCTCGTGTGCTTTGCCATAATTAAATACATCAAACACCTTTCCACTTGCCTGGTAGAATATATGCTGTAAATAAGAACTTCGTTATTTGTGAATCTTTTGATGTGTAATGTTTATTAAGGACTTTGTGTAGCCTGAGTCTTAAAGGTTAATAGTTCAATAGCAGAAAATTTGGTGAATTTTCAGACTGCATCTTATAGTTTTTGTATGTTATCCTCTCTTTATGTTTACACGTAGAACAGCACGTGACATTAGCACCATATTATGAAGTTTTTAAATAACTTCATGACAAATATATCCAACACACACTGTTTTCAACTCTGCAGATCTGTGATTCAACTTTCTGTGTTTTAAAAATGTATGAAAAAATAAAATACGTGGCTATAATAAAAAGTGTGGTTCATAAGTCGACGTTTTGGCTAACGCCCTGCGGTATTTCCCTTGAATATTTTATGTGCAATATATTTTATTATCATAGAAATAAAACTATAATAAAAAACGTTTTTAAATATATGAAAATAACAAGCAAATTCAGTTTTCATACTACATAATTCCGAAATAAATTTCATTAATATGAGTATATATATATATGCATATAATTGAACTAGAATCAAATTAAGATTTCAAAATGTTAACTGAAACTAGTAGTTTTTTAAGTGATTACGGCAAAACCTCGAGGGCTATCTGCCTAAAGGAAAGGAAGCCTTCGTAGAGGAATTCCTAAGAGAAACTGGCTCGTATACACGTTACGAATGGGGAAAATCACGAAAACGCCCATGCAGCCAGCCCGTCACGGGATTCCGAACGTCGGACCGAACTACCAGTGTTCAGCGACTTTAATCGCTCGGCCGCTGGTGGACTAAAACTAGTAGTGTCGCTTTATAGATTGAGAATTATTATTATTTTAAGTCTTATTATTTATGTTATTTATTTATGTTAAATGCGACTAGTAGTGTCGCTTTATAGATTGAGAATTGTTATTATTTTAAGTAACGTCTCTCTCAAAATCATTTCAGAACTATTTCCACAAGAAGAAGATCCATATCATTCAAATAATGAAGATAATTTATAATAGAGAAAATATTCCAAACTTGGATGAAATAGACTTTATCATAAAAAAATTAAATGATAAAAAGGCTCCAGGTCCAGACGGAATAGACAATATAATTTTAAAACAAATTTTTTACTCTAATAAAATTATCATCAAATCATTTATTACAGCATGTTGGAAATTCAATACCTTTCCTACAATTCTAAAAAATGCAGAAATAGTTTTATTTCTCAAAAAGAATAAACCCATGAACAATCTTTTATCTTACACACCAATCTGCCTCCTTCCCTCCCTTGGAAAATTACTAGAAAAAATCATATTATCAAGACTTTCTTACCATTTACATAAAAATAGAATTATCCACGAAAACCAATTTGGATTCATCCAAATAAATCAATTGATCACGCTTTTCAAAACTCTTAGAGGTTATCCAATTCAATAAAAATCAAAAACGGCACTCAGTAATAATTTCATTGGATATTCAATGTGCTTTCGACTCAATAAGATGGAAAGATATAATCAACATCCTTAAGTCAATTGACTGTCCTCAAGATATTCTACGATTAATAGAAGCCTACCTGCATAATAGAAATCTGCAATATACTTCAAATAGTGGTATAATAAACTATAAAATTACTAAGGGCTGTCCACAAGGCTCATGCCTGGGACCAACCCTTTGGAACTTAATCGCCAATTCCGTATTATTCTCATTTGATCATATTCCTTATATTCATGCACAGGCCTATGCCGATGACTTTAAGAAGATAAGTCTGCGGCAATAATCGAAAAATAATAGAAGAAAATTATAATAATTCATTAGTTATCTTCAGCAATTGGGCTAAACAATATCAACTCAAAATTTCAGTAGAAAAGTGCAAAGCTCTGTATATACCAAAAAAACAGGATCTTTAGCAAGAAATATAAGAAATCCTATTATAAAATTATCTCAAAATAAAATAAAATTTGAGAAAAGCTTAACGTATCTTGGCATAGTAATAGACAATCATCTGTCGTGGCATCAACATATCAAATACTTAAAAAATAAAACGCTTGTACTCTCCAATTCACTACGCAGTCTTTGTTCAAGTACTTAAGGCATCAATCCACTATTCCAAAAAATATGGTACTCTACAGTAATTGAAAAAATACTTCTTCATGGAGCCTCTGCCTGGGGTAATAACTTAAACACCCACGCTCAACGACACTTACAATCCGCTCAAAGACCATTTCTATTATTAATATCGGAAGTATACAGAACTACTCCTACAAATGCACTTCAAATCATCATTGGCATACCACCCATCAATCTTTCGATGAAAAAAGAAAGCCACAAAAGTCCAAGTCTCAAGATTACGTATTACAAGCTAATTTAACAATAAACTCTTCTCTCCAAATAATTATGAACTTCTAGAACACAATTTGTATATAAAACCTTCTCAATTCTTTACAAAATCTTTAATTGTAACTTCATCAATTTATAATTTCAAGCTTCAAATTTATACTGATGGATCCAAATCAGATTCAGGCGTTGGCAGTGCATACTGTGTATTCCAAAATAATAATTTATTAAAACAAAGTTATTTTTGTCTTTATCAAAATAATACCGTCTTCCAAGCAGAACTTTTTGCAATAGAACAGGCAATAAAGTATGCAAAAGGTACTTCATTAACAAGTATCATAATTACTGATAGCATCTTTGCAATAATTGCATCCAGCATCTTTGCAATAATTGGCCATAGCAGATTACCAATAGTACGTCGCATACATCACCTACTATCTCTGTTTACACTTAATCTCGGACCAAAATTTAAATGGACAAAAGCTCACTCAGGTACAACTGGCATTGAAATGGCAGACCAATTGGCAAAATATGCAGCAAATAATTTCATCACTTCCTCAACATTTTCTACCATATCCTCTATCATATTTGAATAACCAACTAGAAGGCAATCTCAAAACTCTTTGGAAAGAAAAATGCATCTCTGATACGACAGGCAGACACACCTTTTTATTTATTCCAATTCCTTCCAGAAATCTAATATCTACTGAACGTGCAATCACAATTCTACTCGCAGATCATGGTCCATTTCCTTTCTATCTGCATAGATTTGGATTACATTCTTCAAGCCAATGCATTTGTGGACACGATGGAACAATAGACCATTATTTGTTTCATTGTGAAATTTCATCTTAAACCTTATAATTCAACATCTGCTCCACTTTGGTTCAAGAAAAGCAATATACTTCGTAAAAAATTACAGTCAGTTATCTATCTTTAAATTGTGACAGTCTCAAAGCACCGTAAATACTTACATAGCATACTCCCTCCCACTTGGGAACTTTGGTATACTAAGGATTCATCCTTCTTCAAAATTTCGTGTAATATGACGTCATCATGCTTTTTCTGAAATTCTTATTATAGAAAATCTAATTACCCATATTACGTCCTCTCTAATCTTATTGTATTCATCATTGTACATGTTTATATGTCTGACTGGGGATGTTAAAATGTCGTTTGACTATTGTGAATGCCGAGTAGCTTGCAGAGTTCTTTAATTAGAGCCGATGCAAAAATTTCTTCTTTGATCGGAATGTAACTGAAGAGGCACTCCCGAACCTGAAAATTCAATGCTGTACTATTACATTTGCTACCTTGCCAGCCTCTTGATCAGGAATAGGATACACTTCAGGCCACTTGATGAAGTTATCGATGACAGCCAAGATGTATTTGCTGCCATCAGCAGATCGTGGCAGAGAATGTCAAAGACGATACGTTTAAAAGGCGCTCCTACATTGTAATGTAGCTTCCCTCGGCTGAGGTTGTTTGGTCCTTTCCGACTCGCATTTACGTTTAAAGAAATAAATAAAATGCATAGTATTTCTGAGTTCTTTTGTCCTATTTGATGTCCAGCGACTTCTTAATTCCCTCTTTTTTTTTTCAAGAAAGTCATCACGTGGGTCTCCTCTGCGCAGAAATTCAATTTATATTTTAAGCCCCATTCTTTATTTGATAAAAACAAACCATTTCACGATTTTTAAGATAGCTGTGTTGCTACCCGCTATAGTAACCCTGCTGTATAAGCTTGCAAATGTATGACACAAACGAAATCTATTTCCAAGTGCAGTATCAGCTCTTAAATTTCATAATGCAGGTCTTAAAGTGGAACCCTTTTTAATATAATTTACTTACTAACACTGTGATCTATTGCATTCGATTTCACAAACAGCTAAGTAATTTTTGATTAAATTACTGTGGCGGTAACAGTTATCTTGCCAGTTATTGCTGGCCACCATAAATTATTGAACTCTGAATTTAAAGCAACAACAATAGATACCTAAAAAATGCTTTTATTTTGTGTAGCTATGTTTTTTATCGCATTAGCAGTAGATTTATAAGCCAAACAGAAAGATTATTATTGTCTTTGAAAAATTATTATTGATTATTTGAAAGATTATTATCATAATTTTAGGTATGGTAATTTTTAAAGCTCACCCTTAATTTTAATGTCATAAAATGGCATTTGCAAATTTATATTCTTCTTCAACTATGTTTTTAATTATTTTCTTGGTAATTTAATATTTATTTTCCTATCCTAACCTAGCATCAGTGAGTGCTGACGATAAGTGCGATGTTTCGAAGTATGTTGAATGCATGGAGCCTATGTATAATGCTACATATGGTCATCCACATGGGCTGTATCAGACCTCCGAAGATCTGTCTGTGACTTGTCCGTGAGTATAACTAATCATTACTTATTTGTTTACTTCTTATAAACTTCCCTTCTTCAGTGTTGATTTAATTTAGATGACTGATCTATGAAATTGAAGATGAATTAGATATCTGACCGTCTGACTGTTGACAGGCCGCCTTCGAAGTTCGGGGAACTGTCTATCACCATAGGTTAACTGGTTCTGCCTCTCTCGTCCGCCACTATCGATTGCAAGATCGTCCGTTAGGGAAGCAAACTTCCGCAGTAGGCGAGCAAAGAGCACTATAAATCCGCAGTTATAATTTATGCCGTCTAAACCTAACCCTTAATAGAGTTTCGAAGATAGCAGATGATTCTACTAAAAAAATTAATTTAAACACTGATTAAGTCTTAGGGTCATTGGTGGTTTTTTTTCTGACAGTATTAGTATTGAGAAATAAGTTGAGTAAATAGTTTTAACTTCTAGTGCATCTAGAGAAATTAAAGTTTCTTTGTTAAATTAAATTAATTTTTAATAAGAATGTTTTGGTGATAGTTTTTAATAAAATATCATTCTTATTCTTACAACTTTCAGCATATACAAAGTTATCAACGAAATAAATATAAATGAGAATAAAGTCATCTGCAATGATATAGCTGGAAGAAGCTCGTTTTTATTTCATTTTGTGTGTATTTACCTCTCAGGGTAGAAAATATATTGTTTTAACATTTTCTGAAACTGATTTAAAATTTCCACAGAAGGATCTCTTCTTGAGATTATAAAGTATCCTATCTTTTAATACGGCCTCCCGGTAACGAAGTGGCTCATATCCTGACCTCCGAACTTATTTAAAAAATGTATTTTACTTTCAGAATCACCTTAACTGACGACTACTTTCAAAAAGCTTGCAATACCACGCAGGTTACGACCAGTATACAGTGGAAAATGGAATGGCAAAGTGGCTAGCGCGTCGCGCAGCTGCACAACAGGTCCGGAGCTCGGTCCCCCGGCCTGGGCAAGGTTGACTCAGCCTTTCATTCCTTAAATGGGTCGATAAAATGAGTACCAAATTCGCTTGGGGACTAAACACTGCTAAAGCTGCCTCAAAAACTGCTTACTATACATACAGCTTTGCTAAACACCAGGGGGGGGGGTCCTGCGACAATCTGACCACTTGCCCAGAGCATATGCTGATGCATTCCGGGGCCCAAAGGTCAAGAAAGCAGAAAAAGGGCACTGCAGGCCGTGCCCACTAGGGCTGTTACGCCACTGAATTTTTTAATATTTATCTTTTAATACCCTTAAATAATGCTTTCGTAAGATATCGTTATGGCTTTTTATATTATTTTCGTTATTTTTTTCTCTGAACTATACGAAATAAACCGAAAAGTTTAAATAAAAAGTGAAATTTTCTATTCAGTTAGCAAAACGGAATCAAATCTAGTTTAAGTTTTCCGCAGAAGATAAATTTTTCATAAAAAAAGTAACTGAAAATGAGAAAGGGTTATACCAAATGTTTTTAAAGACTGTACTTCGTATTCATACATGTGATATTAATATTTCTTGAGATTTTGCTTTTTTACCTTCATCTCGATCTCTTAAATTATTAATTCACAACTTTAATGATTTACAATAAACTTTGTTTTGATCATTTAAACAAATAAGGACAGAATTTCATCATAATCTCCAGAGATAATATTTTGCTTAACTATAAATATTTATGGATCATGTTTAATTAAATGCTAACAAAGCCATTTGTGTAATTCCTTCATGGGAAGAGTGCGGTCAGACTTTTATTTAGCTAACTATTTAGTTATTATGAATATAAAAAAACTACCTTTAATCAAATTTTGATATTTATCAGCATTTTCTATAAGTTTGTTTTTTAGTTTCTAAAGCACGTTAAAGATCTTTTCAAAAGGAGGGGGGTGAGCGATGATCGTTATAAAGTGAAATTGGTGCGTGGGGCAAAATAGGTTGAGAACCACCGGTCTACTCACTTTTGTAAAGGTTATTTCTTAATAAGTGCTCCTTCGTAGCGAATTGACTAATAGTTTTACATATGCTCAAGAAATACACTAAAATCAACACTTCCTATATCCAGAAATGAGTCCTGTCTTGTCTAATAGTTGATCATATCGAAATATTTTATAAAAATTAATGTTTTAATTATTATATTCTAGTTCGAGACTAGTGAGTATTAAACAAATTACGCAACTTACGTATTATCGCAACCACCTTAATAGAAGTCGCCAAATTTTTAGAATGCGCCAAACTGTGATAACTTACCAGCAATGGAAGAAACTTTGGTAAAATTTCTGCAGGAATACATAGATTGCGATAAAACCTAGCATAACATAACATAATATTCTAAATGGCGCGATGCGTTTGGTAGATAGTGGTGTTACCGACGTTTGCGGGCCTACCAGCGGGCCGAGCGGTAAAGTCGTGGAACACTGGTAGCTCGGTCCGAGGATCGAATCCCGCGAACGGGCTGACTGCATGGGCGTTTTCGTCGTTTTCCCCATGTGTAACGTGTATACGAGCCAGTTTCCCTTAGAAAGTCCTCCGCGAAGGCATCCCTCCCCTTAGGCAGATAGCCCTAGTATGCTTTGCCGTAATCTGAATAAACAAACCGACGTTTGTGCCATGCCGAGTCTCTGCAGTTCTGTGATGATTTTTTAAGCGAAAATAGAGTGCTGTATACTTGGGGAGAAAAGTAGTGCAGAACAATTACAGAAAGATTTGGTAACGAATGGGTTTTATTTTTTATGTAAAATGTTGCAAAAGCGAACTTCCATCCGATTAGTAAATTTTACCTTTTCAACTGTAAAAAATCGCCCAATTTTGACTAGGTGGTTGCGTTAATACGTAAGTACCCAAATTATTTGCAAAGTGATTATATCAGATTAAATTTTCAGTTAAGTGATTTGTAAAGGCTAAGGAAGAGGAATAAGGAAACTTAAACAGTTGTTTGAAGCGCGGAAATGATTTTCAGATTTTATTTATTTGGAAATGAAAAGCGCAGAGTTTATGTATTCTTTATTGGGTGTTTATATACTGACTACCAATAAGTATTTTGACACCTGTAATAGAAAAGAAAAAATAACTTTATTCAAAATCAATAGTTGGTAGAGCCTCCACGAGAGGTAATTACAGCGTGGACCCTCCGGGGCATACTTTCCACAAGTCTTTGTATGACAGCTAGTGGTAATTTCTTCCACTCGGCTTGGAGAAGACATAGAAGTTCCTTCACCGATTTTGCACGGGTAGTGCACCCCTGAATTCGGCGATGCAACTCGTCCCAGAGGTTCTCGATAGGGTTCAGGTCTGGACTCTATCGAGACAACATGACAACTGCCATTGTAGTCCTGAAAGTAACAGGGGTCCAACCCGTAAAACTGCCACAACGTAGGAAGCACATTGTCATCCAAAATAGTGCAGTAGGCATCGGAATTGAGCTTACCATGAATGAGCACCAAGGGTCCCAGCCCATACCAGGAGAAACACCCCCAGACCATAATTCCACCTCCGCCGAACTTGACTGTTGGCACAATGCATTCTGGCAGGAGACGTTCTCCAGGTAGACGCCAGACCCAGACCCTGCCATCCAAACGGTAAAGGGTGAACCTTGCTTCGTCACTCCAAAGAATCCGTTTCCACTGATCTACGGTCCAATTTCGATGTGCTTTGCACCACATTAATCGAGCAGCGCGGTTGGACTTTGTGATCAAAGGCTTATGGGAAGCAGCACGACCATGAAAACCAAGCAGATGTGCTTCATTACGGATGGTATTCATTGAAGCAATACTACCGGATACCTGTTGAAACTCCTCGCGGATGAGGGCCATCGGTTGGGTGCGGTTTTTCCGAATTTCTCTGGACAGCACTCGTCGGTCTCTATCTCCCAGTTTCGTTGGTCTGACGACTCGGGGCACATTCCGACAATCACCACTCACCTTCCACTTCTTAATCACATAGGCGACTGTCGATTTTGGGTACTTCAGATCGCTAGATATGTCCCTTAAGAATCGGCCACATTTGTGATACCCGATAATTATACCTTTCTCGAAATTAGAGAGCTCCGAACTGCGAAACATCATGCATGCGACTAAAGCCGATGCAGTTTCCTACACGATATATATCGGCGGAGTCCGTGACGTACCTTATGACCGCATATATCGTCATTTGCATAGGTGTCCAAATACTTATTGGTAGTCAGTGTATTAACAAAGGCAGCGTTATTATACACAATCATCTTGTATAGCAGGATTCTCAATCATAGAAATATTTATTGTTGCGTTTCAGTGGAAAGAGGAACGTGAAAAATAGAGAAACTCTCTACTTGAAAAATAGATAGTAGCCTTTAGATGAGTTTAGTAATATGGTTGTAGGGTTTATATTTATTTTAACTAACATTTATTTTAAGTTTAAACTATCTTTCCTGTCAAGCCTTACTTTCCCCTGGAACTGCCAATGCCAGAGTATGTAAATTTTAATAGAACGCGCAAGGATTCAAATTATCAGCGGAAGTATTCTGAGTTAAATAGAATGGAAACGAGTTCGAGGTGTGCTGTTCTTACTTCACGAGCGCGGAGGTAGTTAGCCAGAAATTGAAGAACCCCGCGTTTCGGCCTGGGTGCTTGCCTCGGAGAATTGTTAATCGTTCAACGTGATATTCAAAGTTTGCTGAATTAGCAGCGGTATTGTAAAACGCGGTGAGGTTAGTTATGTTTAGAGAGCCTCGTAGTTAGAGTCTTGTTATTATTTCTTTTCAGGTTCTTATTTTTATTTTAAAGCCGGGTCGGCGTAGTTTGTGAGCGTCAAGAGCACGCAATTGTAATTTCTTAAGTTGAATAAAAAGGAACTTAAACCCTTAGCAAGACTCTGTCTACATTCCAGTTTCAACAGTCACCTCTTGATTGCGTGCAGGTTGGAGGCGCGCAACTCTACATGGTAATGATAATGTTAGGGTAAAGTTCAATGTAATTTTAAGATTACCGATTTTCGATCGCCTTGTATATTTGTTAAAGCAATTCGGGGAAGAAATAAAATATTAAATCAACTATCAACAGGAATAATACAGATAAGAAAAAGCTGAATGTAGGAAAAAAAATCCTTAAATATAGGATTCTTCGCTTCTTGGTCTTATCAAATTCAATAGCGTTAAATAACAAAACGAATTTTGAAGTTCTGGATTTTAAACATAAAGCGCTTAAAATTTATCTTTTATATTACAGGGTTCTTAAAGAGGGAATTGCCTGCATCAAGACATTCGCTGAGACTTGCGGAACTGAGATGATCGCTGAAAGTTACACTGATCAGTTTGAAAGACCATTTGAATTCCTCAACAAAATCTGCGATTCTTCTTCTCCAATCAGAACAGGTACGAAGTTAATTTGTTTATTTCTACTCAAATCATGTAGTCGTGTAGGAAACTGCATCGGCTTTAGTCGCATGCATGATGTTTCGCAGTTCGGAGCTCTCTAATTTCGAGAAAGGTATAATTCTCTATCAAATTCAATCTATCTATCTTCTATTCATCTATCTAATCTATCTAAATTCAATCTCTATCTTCTATCAAATTATTTTTCTTTTTTATACAATGTGGGAACGTAATTATAGGACTTTAAAAATGTGTTTACTAATTTGATAATTATCAACTCTTAAAAAATTTTTATTATTTTACCTAGAGCAATCAAAACAGATTAGTCTGGCAAATCTATAGAAAAAAAACTGAATTACATAAACTTTGACTTTTCAGAATCTTTTAGTTTACCTCATAAGTAAACTAAAAGATTCTGAAATGTCTACGCATTTGAAAAATATTAGTCTTACCCATTCATCTGTATTTTTAATTTGTTCCGTGGCACACTTGTAGAATTCTTTACTAATTACAAACTCTGTAAAATTCTTTGCTAATCCACAAAATTCTTTAGAATTTTTTACTGTTCGCAAACACAAATTGGCAAATACGGATAAAATTGTAAACTCTTCCAAATTTACGGGTTATTTAACTTTTAATATGCGCTGGAAATGGAGCTAAACCGTTAGACATCGTCGAGGCAGGTGAAGAATAATTAGTTTCTAAATTGCCATAGAGAATTAAATTGAGAAGGAAAAAAGGGTTTTACTGTAGATAAAGTATTCAAAGACATGCCCAGGTGATTTCAACAGCTACACATATTTGTTTTACCTTTTTAACTCCGTCAAAACTTTCCAATGCAAATTACGTATATTAACTAAATTAAGATCACGGTGACATTCATAAGGAAGAATTCCTAGTTAAGAAAGTAGTATTTTAGAGTTTTCTTTCAGTTATTGATAGGGAAATCAAAACAGTATCATGGTATTGTAAGTCCTTTCGAATTTTCTCAGTTTATTCTAAAATTCAGTCTCCAGAACAAAGCTCAAAATTTGCAATACTAGTGTAAATTTTCCTTTAACAGCAGCTGGAGCAATCAAAAAATGCTTTCTTGAAAAATAGAGTTTTAAACTATTTCCCTACAAGTCGTTTTCGCAATTTTTGTTGTTATTTGTCTGAGCAGCAAATTTAATGACAGCGAAAAAATCGGGGATTGGCCAGGGCGGCAAAGTTCTAACTACGCCAGTTAAAGCCCAACATCCCAAAACTGACATTTTATACTATCACTGTTATTGTATCCCAAGAATATAGTGATACCTCAGTATATGTAATTAATCCATTCCAGACTCCTAGACTTATACCAAATAAACATGTTTAATAAGTAATAAAGGGGAAATAATTAATCCTTTCTTATAAAAAAATCCTAAAATTATTAATATATTATAAAAATATTCAATACTAAGGTACAAATGCATTTAGTGAAATATACAATGTATATAAATAAAAATACTGTACATAATACTGCACGTTTTTTTAAATATGATCCAGATCAAAAGCAATTTTTCAACAAGCTATAATGTCTCTTATCTCTGTTTGGTAATCGATTTCAAGACCTTCCACACATCAGCCCGACTTAAGAGTATTTTTGTTTCTTCCAATAGTAGTTACAATCGGTCTCGACGTACCGTATGCAATAGCCTAGTTCCGGCTATTCATGTCATCTTCATACTTTTCAGCAACCTCTTTTTTTTCACTTTTATGGTGCAATTTTCTTCGTTGCTTCATTCTTTTCATTAACTTTCTTGAAATTCATTGTTGACAAATTTACATGAAATTTATCCGAAAAATCCCAACAACGAGTGAAAATTCAGTTAAAGGGCAGGTTATTTACTTAACATTAGTAACAGTATACTGATGCTTATGATCAGTCTTAGCTATATCTCGATAATGGTAAACAAGGGTAGTGCTCGCAGTTCAAGAAAAAACAAGGTTAAACAATGGTAAACAAGGCACGAACTCGAGTCGTATTCCAAATAAATATCTTATACGAAACTAAATTTTCCGCATCTCAACACAGGATGTACACTGCGCAAAAAATAAATAAAAATAAAAAAGTTCTATATCTCCCGTTCCACTGGGCCTATTGACGACATTCAACTTTCGTTTTTCATGTCTCGAAAGCGCGACTTAGGATATGTATTAGTTTTATATAGCATTGTTCTAATATAGGTATTATGACACAAAATCCGACTTTTTCTGAAATGCCATACCAATTTTTGTCCATATTTCGATTCTACGACTCAAATTATGCCAAACTGCCAGTTTAGTAAAAATAGCACGAGTAGTTTTTAAAAAAATTAGCTCTCAAAATGTTAGCTCATTGTTACTAAATGTTAGCATCACTGCCAGAGTACTCATATACCATTGTTACTGAATGCTTTTCTTGCATTTAACTATTATATAATTCTAAACTTCGTCCGCTGTACTGAATTACCATGTAAATTCTCTTATAGAATACCTGAAAGCATCGCCTTGCATGTTAGAGAACAGTGATGATTTTGAAATATGCTCTACTAAAGTTCAAGAATTCTTAGCTTATCACGATGCTGATACAGAAGAGAAAGAAATTACTATGACCTGCATGTAAGTTTTTTCATTATTGATTATGCATTTAATTTGCCCTTGAACAAGAAAGAAATAGAATTACTAACGGAACTTAGAGAAAGAATTATTCTAAGAGGCATTATTCTAAGTTATATAAGTATTACCATATATCCTTTGGGTGACCATTAACTACTAATATGAGCGTGTATCGAACACGGAAATATGATAACTCTAATATTAGGATTACTATCCGTCCGTATTTAAAATATGTACAAATATTGTATACGTTCTGTCTGTGTCCTTATGTACTTTAATACATTTGTCTGTATATTAAGTGTAGATAGTTTGCACTTTAAGTGTCTCTTCTACACCTGCACAATACTTCAATAAAATTAAATAAATGTTCGTATTTTTAGATAAGAACACAGCTGAAGTATTTGTTAAGTTAAAGTACAAAATTAATTAAATAATACAAAATTTGTTATTGTATTCCTACGTGACTCCCGAAAAGCAGAGGTGAAATTTTTGTCAGTTCCAACTGATAGCACACAGCAGCCGAATGGGTAAAATCGTTTAACCCCTCCCCCCACGAACGGGCCGGCTGCATGACATTTTCGTTGTTTTATCTCTATGTGGTAAGTAAATAAGAACTAGATTCTTTTGGTAGTTCTCAAAGAAATTATTTTTTCTCGCAGGCGGAGAGCACTAGTTAGTTTTGTCATAAACGAATAAATCGAATGCAGCCCCAACCCCAAGTAAAATCTTTATTCTGCACTTTGGAGGTAAAGGCCGATTAATAAAATCTGGCGTTTTCACAAAAAAAAAAAAAAAAAAAAAAAAAAAAAAAAAACAGCAAAGGTGACAGATATTTTAAACGAATATGCTACTAAAATTCGTAGAATTTTTTTTATTGAACTGTTGCAAGTAAAACACCCCAAAAGGGTACACTAAATAGAAAATTTAAACGAGAAATGGAGGGAATAACTGACTGTTTTTTTTTTTTTACTATATTTCGGGTTTATTTTGATACGAAATTAGATCTCTTACTTAGAAACTTAACTGGCATCGGGTATTCCGCTAGTATAATATATTTAAAACATTAAGGTATTTTACACTTTCACCGATGAGAGTGATAGAAGTAAGAGAATATTTTGTGAACTGTAGATGTTAAGTGTAAAAATTTGTTTTTATGAACTTTGTATATATGTAAATAATTTTAGTGAAATTATATATAAATTGTAGTATCTTTGGTATAATGTAACATGAAAGACTTCAGATTGCAAAGCATCGCCAGGAAAAATAGCAGTTCAGGGGTGAGTCCATTTCCCAGTTGGGCGAGAGAGCGCCAAACTGGGGATGGTTTTAGCAACTAATGTTCTTACCCTGTGTAACTAACCGGCCCTGTGTAAATATCTGGCCTTACGTAATTGTAACTTGTGTGCCTGCCAGCAATTTTAAGAAAGCGAAGGTACAGGAAATTTCTCGGCGAGCGGAAACTACATGAGATCTGGGAAAGTATCAGTTTTCAGTTTAGCTCAGGGTATTGAAAGAGACCGTGCGAGCTTCCGCTTTTTTATGTATTTTGTATTGTCGTATATTCAACGTTTTTAGTAGCTTAGAGAGGTAGCTACTGATTGTGCTCTGTCATACTGAGAACAGTTGTACGATTACTTTTGTGTGCAAAATTCCAAAACTATTAAAAGTTTTAGGAAAAATAAATTTCATCAAGCTTTCGTAGGTTCCATGTGAATTCAGTCCATTATGAACCCGTATTCATGTAACAATTTTGGGTGTCAGAAGTGGAATTTAACTCCGGTGACAAGAGTGATGTAGGCCAAAAAAAGATGGAAGAACGCGTTAACTCAGTTAAGACAGCGATAAAAGCGGACCAAAGGAAATGAAAAGAAACATTTCTGCCATAATAGAAAACAAATTCGAAAACAATACTATCGAACAACATATAAAGTTTCTGCTGCTGTTGCCAAGGAAGTTAACAATTTAAGAAATCCATAAAGACAGCAAGGCATAATTCTGACGCTTTTAAATTCGTACATAAGTCGTCCTGATCATCTCTAAAGCTATCCGCATATGATGAAAAAAAAAACCTCCTAACAAGTGTAAAAGATTTTATACTAGCAAAAGCGAATCGATGGGATTCCGAAGCCAAAGGCTGGCATCTCGCCGAACCTCTGAGAGCAAATGCAGCGGATATCCTTCAAACTGTACCCGAAAATCAGAAACTAAACTTCGAAGCTGTATCTGGCGTGTAGGAGCTGCGCTTTGGCGAGAAATGTTTAAAAGACTGGAGACCGCTTCAGTTACAATCTCGCCAACTGAAGTCCACAGAAACACTTCAGGAGCTCCCCAAGCTTGTTGAAAGGCTATCTCATCCCGCTTCTCCGGACTGCCAAATAGAAACAAGGGAAACCATGTCCCTGCAACATTAAATTCGAGGCAGTCCAGCAAGCAACTCGTAAAGACCGCCACACAATCAAAGTTCCTCAAGTTCAGGAGCTAGGAGATCAAGTGACTGCTCCTCTAGGCGATTTAAACAAACAAATCAATGCCTTGAGACGGAATAGGAGTTGTAGGCAAAGAGAACCTAGAGTGCTGTAACTGCAGAGGTGAAGACTGCATGCGATGAAACTGCAGAACACACGAAGACACAAAAAATAAACTGCTCCCTAGCAAGGACTCAGGAAAAATGTTAGTGACCATCTTTCGGAGCGCACGTTTCCAGATACTGAGAAGCCTCATTTTAAAGCCCTTCGGATTTCTGAAATGAGTAGTTACAGTAATGGACTTTTCATCACAGTGCATGTCAATGAAGTTATTTGCAGTATGACCATCGATATTGGAGCCAATGTAACCATCATCTGGAAAGATTTAGCTCAACATTTGGAAGGTTAACTCATCTGGATCCAGCCCTGCATTGTCCTACAGACTGTGTCCTGTGATAAAATGGACATCTTAAAATCACGTTTGGAAGTGCCACCTGCCATCACACGGCGTATGTGGCACATATTACAGACCCCTGTATAATCGAATTAAACTTTCTAAGGAAATACTTTTTGGGGCTTTAATGAACTTCATTCTGCTTTGAGGACATAACCATACTTGGAGCCAAAGATAAAGGAGTTAAATCTGTCCACCAAGTAATAGCACAAGATGACATCACAGCACCAACAAGAACAGAATTTTTACTACCTCTATCCATAGCTGAAAACAAAAATTCCCGGTGCGGCATAATGGAGTATCTTAAAATTTGTACGAAACTTAAGAGTGTCATCCTGATGAGCGTTGTCAACGTAAGTGATAAGGCGAAAGTCTTTAAGAAAGAGGAAGTGGTTGCAGCATGTATTGCAGTGACCTGCGTTAAACGAACCAAGAGTCTTATCGCCGTGTCTTTGGGCAGCCTAACATCGGACTTATTGCAAAATTCACAACTAAACAATGAAGATATGAGTTCTGCAGAACGTATCATTCAAGAATTTCAAGTTGTTTTTCCTGTATATCTTGTGGCATAGGTCGAACCGCTGCTTTGGCACAGCATAAAATTGATGCTTGAGATCATTCCGCCAACCAAGCAACGTGCTAGACCTTAACCGATTGCTAAACAGGAACAGGTAGGAAAACTTATTAAGGGCATGCAAGAAAGTGATCTTATCGAGTCTTCAACAACTCCTTAGGCCTATTTCATCGTCCTGGTCCGAAGTGAAGATGCTTGAACTAGATTTTGAGTTGAATATCGCCAGTTCAACGACATAGCTAAAAAAGATGTATACCCTCTTTCTAAAATTAACGAGGCCCACCAGCGGCTGAGCGGTAAAGTCGCTGAACACTGGTAGTTCGGTCAGAGGTTCGAGTCCCGCGAACTGGCTGGCTGCATGGGTGTTTTCGTGGTTTTCCCATGTGTAACGTGTATACGAGCCAGTTTCCCTTAGGAAGTCCTCCACGAAGGCATACCTCCGCTTAGGCAGATAGCTCTAGTGTGCTTTGCCATAATTAAATACACCACACCTAAAATTAACGATATAATGGACACTTTTTCTGGAAGCCATTGGTTTTCGACGCTTGTTTTAAAGAGTGGATACTGACAAGCAGAAATACACATTGATGATCGAGAAAAGTCGGTATTTGCTACTGGGAAAGGACTGGGGCAATTGAAGGTGATTCCATTTGGATTATATAATGTACTGCCAATATTCGAACGCCTCATGTAGACCGTTTTGAGAAGTCATCTATACAAAGCATGTATAATATAACTGAATGACATCATCATTGCCGAGAAAGTTTCGACGAGCATTTTAGAAATTATTAGAAAGGTGCTTCAGAGATTGAAAAAAGTCAAACTTAAGTCCTGCCAAATGTAAATTGTTCAAATATTAAATGAGTTACCTCGGACATGTCATCTCTGCCAAAGGTGTGAGTACGGATAAAAAAAAAAGACGGCAGCTAAAGATTAAAGAAGACCGTAAAAATGTCTATTAACTGAGAAGTTTTCTGGGCTTTGCATCTACTGTAAGAGATCTGCGAAGTAGTTTTCTTCCATCCTCTGAATTTATGTCACAACTTCTTTGAGATTAATTTTCCTTTCAGTTTACCTTTTTGCTGTTTCTTTTCCAGCTGTAATAGGTCTTTTTCTCCTCCTTTCCAATCCTTGATCTTATTTTGTTTCTGTTAAACCATCATATATATTTTTTTGCTTTCTTCGAAAAAGAATTTCTTTTAAATTAGTAATAAAATACAGGCTGCAGCGTTTGAGTTAAAACCCTTTACGGTCTCTGAGGTTTTCAAAGGCTTTATTTATCTATTAGCTTCTGATATTCTAAATCGATAATTTTGAAAAGCAAAAACAGATTTCCTTCGTGTTAAATAATGTTCCCCATCTCTTTTTTATTACTTGCAGGTTCGAAATGATGCTTCGAGCTTGCTTGATGAGTACAGGCGCCGAGAAATGTGGCATGGAAACTGCAAGCTTCATTCGAAAAGCCCTGCTGTACTCTCCTTCACTCGGATTGAAAACTTGCTCAAAAGAATAGAACCTTGTTCAAAAGTGAAGAATCTACTGTCGAAAAAACTGATCTTTAAATTATTACGTGTTAAATAACTGAAAAAGTTATCTGCGAAGATTGTTTTTTGTTTTGAAAAAAAATTCTAGAATGAAATACACATTAAAGTTATGATACAACATTTAGTTCAATGTTTTATACATGGGCAATTTCAGCTTTATTGATGGTAATTAATTTCTTCGGTTTCGTATATTTTTATATTGTTACGGCTGGGAAATAAATGATTTTATTTTCAATTTTTCGGCTCCTTTTTCATTTATACAAACAGCTGTAGTGAAGTGTTTAAAGAAATATCACCATTTTAGTCGAACATCAAATATTTATTTTTCAAACTTACAAAACCTAAGAAGACATTTCCGACGCATCCTCAAGCGAGGATCTTTCAAGAATTCATTTCTTCCTGGATATTTATTTGATATGGTATCAGAGCAATGACGTTACAGTCTTAAACTCCTACCCTAACGGAAGGAGAAACGTTTCGAAGAAAAGTTTTTCTTTCAGTTCGGCGGACTGTTCAAGGCAAAGGTTTCACATTAAATGTATCAAAATTTTTCACAACAAAAATTGAAGAATACCCATATCAAATATAATTAGATACCAAATAAATGAGTACAGGTGCCTTTCACTCAAACATTTAAAATAAACACACAAAATTTAATATTTTGATATTAGAAAAAAATTTAAATAACGCAGTTTTAAATTTCTCAGTCTCTCTCTATATATTTATTTATTTAGTGATGAGACTGGGTATAACGACTTAAAACTTGGATTGTATACATCAACGTTTTGGTGGTCTTCTGCTTTCTTATCTAATTTATTGTTGTAATTATCTAAATTATCAAGGGGAATTATCTATTAGGGGGAAAAATCTGTTACCTTGATATCAAGTACTCCCCCCCCCCCCTAAGTTAGCAGTTTTTCTCCCCTTCGCCTTCTTTTAGCCTGTCCTTCTGGATTTACTGTACAGCTCTCATTCTACTTGAAGCGCCCTTGTATGAAATACGAAGTTCTGACAACCGGAACACAGCATGAACTTTTCACGCTAATCTCGGCATAGAGCGGGAGTTGGAGTTAGTTGATAATATTCAGTTCTTGATTAGATAATTAACTTGTTGCAATCGTTTGCGAGGTTGAGACCTTGCCAAAGATGTGCATTTGAGTGTTTGTATCAAAGTCTGAGTTCGAATTAGCACTCGAACGCCAAGTTTTCGGTTTCATCCGTTTTATGCACTCTCTGTGAGTTTTTCACTAAATTGATTGTGCATATTTTTGGTCTAGTTTATTCGCTCTCCCAACATTGTTGTAAGTTCAGGTTGGAATTCTAATATTCCTTTTTTTCTGCCTCTCAGAGTGGAATGCGACCCTATGTTCTATAGTAATTAATGCTCATCTGAATGTGTACTATCACCTCTCTTAATTTTCAAAAACAATCTAGAATCACCCTGTATAAGACAGAATAACTCCATTATCAATATTTGAAACATCGCATTGATCGATGAATCGTTGTCAAAAGTTCGTACTGTGTAAGATCTGTGTAGAGATTTGTGTAGAGATGAAGATTTTAATAAAAACAGCACTTATTTTTTCATACTGATTTTATTGAATAAGTGTAATAAAAAATAATAAGGATACTACATATTAGGCTGTAAAATGTTAATAACGAAACTGTCTCTGCGTCTTGTATTTAAGAGAACTGATTCTAAATAATCTTGAAACATTTCCCTAAGACACAAGCCATTAAAGAACTAAATGTGTGCAATAAAATTTACAATTAAAACTCTTTATTTGAAGAAGGCTTTCTTCATTTTATTGTTAATTGCACATTTCTTCTACAAACCTCGATGCAAAGCGATCCGATAAGATCTCCAAAAACCCTTTTGCATCTGCTCCACACTTTTCAAGTGTTTCTTGTAAAACGCAGTTTTTGATAGGCTGATAGATCCTGAGGGAAAAAAAGTTAAAGATTAAAATTTCTTATATTCAAAGAGAAAAGAATCCATCATAGGATCGCTAAGATTTAATTTCAAAATTAAACTGTAATTTAGTAATTTAATGCTTGAACATGGTGTAATTTATTTCAGAGTCCTACCTAAATAACTGAATAAAAATATGTAAGGAAAAATACTAGGTGACGATTAAGTAAATTTTGTGGGCTCAGATACTTTTATATGCTCATAAAAATTCTTAGTTAGATGAATTAAAAATCACATGAAATAGATTTCATTAGTTGGTCATATTAAAAAGGAAACAAAGATTAAATTTTCAAGGAGACTTAACGTTGCTTTCACGTCCCTAATTTAAGCACTGTATGGTCATAATTTTAAAGCAAGCCCTTGCGTTCTGTGAAATGACAACGCTTGCCAAATTACTTAAATGACACAAATCATAATAAAATAATGGAAATGCTAAACGACAAAGGTAAAATTTCAAAACTTGTGGCTAATATATTTCTTTTATTTAAGTCAGAAAGCTTCTGAAAGATTTAATAAATACAAGGACATCATTGAATGTTCTTGTTATCCCCGAAATTTGCCTATTGCTTTTTTAGCAAAGTTGTGTTCATCAGACAATTTTGCTTTGACTACAGATGTTTAAATACCATTATATAGAAGAATAGTTACCCTTTGCCTAGACTTGGTTGTTTCGTAGGTACATATATGATATAATATAGATATATATGGTATAAATGATTTCTGAATATGGGCGAAGAGTGAATATTGACAAGAAAAAGGAGAGTTAAAATATGAGATACTGTCATTTCTGTGTAGCACGGGTTTTAGTAGTTTATTAGGCTTCTGTGATATTCGAATATCTAACGGAGATTATTTTGAGAAGACTATTATATGAAACCTGTCTCGTGGTAATCGCTGGCGTAATAATAGTCTTAAAATATAAGGAAAGTCCTACACCTTAGGACAAAATTTAAAGCTGATTCCTGCTAAATGTGAATTATTTTAGTAAGAAGCTATCCAAATTGGTTATCATTTCTACAGAATGTATATAAATAGATCCTTTGAAAATCAAGGTCGTTCATGATTGATATCAGCCTCAAGGTGTTCATCAGTTCAGAAGATGAAATTTCAAAGCTTGATACGAAAAGTACATATATCTTTTCAAAAGCAACGCCCAATCCTCTGCAGGCCGATAATGATAAGCACCAGATTTAATGAAATTTCATAGCTACACACTTTGGTCCTTGGAAATCAATCTATGATACTTTTTTTTTTCTGCTCTACAGCGATCTTTGTATCCATGACACGAATACACATCCATTCCACCAACTGCCTTTTACTGTCAGAGTGAAACAGCCACATTTCATTTCACGTGCTGACTCCATGAAAGCATTCTATGCAATCCTAAAAGAATCTTTACAGATGATCCACACACGTTCTTCTTCATTTGCCCTTGTCAAAAGCCTTGTAATCCAACGAGTACAAATTTTTCTGCATCCCAATCATTGTATTAGAGTTAACGCATATCTTTTTGTCATATTTGGTGCTGCATGATACCTCTCGTGGTGATGCATCTGTCATTTTGAATGAGTTTCTCAGTGACTGATCCGTTTTCATCAGTTGTGATGGTTGTCGGTCTATCTGACCGTGCCTGGGCCAGGATGTCAAATGGTCATCATGTCAAAGCATCTGAAGCCCTTGACATACACTACTTCAATTCATTGCATTGACTCCGTAGACTAATAATACTTTACTGTGAATTGAAGCTGCTGAGTTAGCCTCGGATTTGTAGAAGAATTCGATCGCTATGCTTTGGCCCAATGCATTGCTACGTTGATCATCCATGGTGGTTTACTTGCAGAAACAGATTAATCAAAAAATCAGAAATCAAAAATAACAGAAAATCAAAAATTATGTATACGTAAAGTTAGGGATGGGTAAACTACGTTCCGCGGGCCAGCTCCAGCTCACCTTAAAGTTCTATCCGACCCGTCGCAATTTAAAAAAGTATATTATATTTATATAATATATTTTTGGTATAGCTGTACAATATGAAACATTATATATAAAATATTACTATACATATATATTGTATAAAGCCCACGTGATCGTAGCGGAAAACGAGCTCATGTAAAAGAGGTCTGTTATCTCATTTCACTAACATGTATACTCGCATTTTTAGCTGAGCCCAGTGTCTTTAATTTCTCAGAAAGCGATGTTTATTGATAATCTTCCTAAATGAATAAAATTACGCTTCTTGGCTTTTTTTCTTTTTCTCTTAAGATGGCCTAAGAAAACTGCACTTTGCGTTTGAACGTATATTCCAAGATTTCAATGCCATTCAGTCAGAAATAGATATTTTCACCATGTCTTTCCACGTAGCACTGAAACTGTGCGGCAATCTTGAATTAATTGGGCTACAAACTAACAACTATCTCAGTTGTTTCTCAGTGTTCTAAAATTAGAGTTTTATAAATCGCTACCGAAAACAAATGTCGGTTACTTTAGACTAAAGATACTCATTAAATCAGATAAATGAGACGACTCGCTTGAAATTGGCAGACAAGAAGTTTCTTTTTAGGCATAATTTTATTTCAATTATTTGCAACAAACCGCTTCATTACAAACTCATTTTCATTTTAAAAATATTTTAAAACTACTGTTCTAATCACAGTCTCGCGATAAACCGAGGCGTTGTTACTCTTTTTCAAATAAAGTATTAACTGAGGTAATTTAAGTGGCGCAACATTCTCCCCATTTGAGTTTTAGTGAGTTTTAGAACCTTTGGGAGAAAACTCAATATAAGCGTTAAATCTAAACTCTAAAATACATGAAATATTCGAAATATAAAATGTCTATTTCAAGTTAATGTTCACATTATTCGAATGTTCTGTAACTTCTAAAGTGTACAGCCTTTGAATAGGTCTGAGTAAAGGTCCTTTACAAGTTTTCAATTTCACTAGTCTTGGACGCCCGTCTCTCCCAGGAAAGAGTTCGATCAATCTTGCTAATGGCTAGTGAATTCGTTTTTATCCTCTCTACCAATCAAGACGATGTCTCTAAGTTTAATTTGCTCCAGGTTTTTAGGGATTTATGAACGTAAAAATCCCAAATACTCAGTTCGAAATCTTTCTTTCAATCTTTCTCTCAGTTTCTGAACATATCTGTATCGTTTATTGATGTCGGATTTATCGATTTTGTCTAGGTCGGGCACATCATTGGTAGGGAAATCTTGAAGGAACGAAGAGGGTGTCAAAATTCTTAAATCTGGTTCTTCTGATACGTATGTCAAAGATCTATTATTCATAATTGATTCACACTCACGAGAGTCAAGAGTTCTTCTTAAGTCAGAGATGAACGTCCTAAGTTTTAAGTATGCCTAAATTTTAAATATGTCTTTCCCAGAATCCTCCTCACCATGGAGCAGCAGATGGTGGGTTGAACTTCCATTTGATTTGACTAACTTCAAATTCTCTTTGAATTTTTGTCAAGCTGTTTTAAGGAGAAATTTAAGCCTGTGAAATTAGTTCCATTGTCTGAGTATAGAGGGGATATTTTACCTCTTCTCGCGATAAATCTTCGCAACGCTTGAATGAAAGCATTTGTACAAAGAGACGGTATTAATTCTAAGTGAGCAGCCCTATATACAGCACAGGAGAAGAGTACAATCCAAGCTTTTTCATCTGACTTAGTTATTAAGGGTCCTGTCAAGTCCACACCTCACACTTCAAACATAGCTGATAATCTAGTGCGATATGGAAGCAAAGAGAGAAATAGCACTTTAAGATTCTTCGTTTTTTGTCTTTTACAGGTGACACAGTCTTTAATGATGGAGCGAATAGTTCTCCAACCTTTTATGATCTAAAATCTCTTCCGTAAAATTGTTAGGAGAATGGATGTTCCTACATGTTTGTTGACTAAGTGTTCAATAAGTCTTTTAACTATTGAAAGTTTTGATGGGAGGACCAAAGGAGCAATGAATTCAAATGTTTCATCTTCGTTGGTAAGTCTGGACTTTAATCGAATCATGGTCTGTGAAAACTTGAAAATTTTGTAACGATTTTTTACCTTCTTTGTCATACATACACTCCCTTTGTTCTAAACGTAGAAGTGTTTTCTGTGCTTTTAAGATTTCTTTTTGAGTTAGATCAGTGTGTTTCCTTAAATGTATAGCTTTCGGTTGAAAGCGTAACACCCATGCTAAGACTCTTATTAGTTTTGAAAACTTGGAAATTCTGGATGCTAAATAAATTACAGTGGATTCAAATCCTACATTGCTAGCTGAGACAACAGTTCTCCGTTTCTCGTTTTCATTCAACTTCCTCTTCATTAATATTTTCTGTTGACTTAGGCTAATCTTCTTTGTAATACTTCAGCCATTACGGTCCTAACCACCACTCTGATCTCAGTAGTTGTTTAACTCCACATCCTCTAGAGAGAAGATCGGCAAGATTCCGATTTCCCGGAACATGAAACCAATTTTCAGGAGCGGTTAGCCTTCTAATTTCAGCAATTCGGTTGTTTACGAATACTGACCACTGTTCCTGTCTCGTAATCCAAGTTAACACTGCCGATGAGTCTGTCCAAAAGTAATTATCAATATTTTGATTTTCAAACTTTAGAGCCTGAATCATAGAATCAAATAATCTCGCACCAATAATAGCTGCCATCAGTTCAAGGCTAGAGATAGTTATTCTTGATTTAGCTTGGAATAGCTGCACCTTTACAGTACTATCAGAATATTGGCATATTAAAAATATATAAGCAGAATAAGCTGTCTGGCTTGCATCAACAAATGTATGAAGGCTCAAGTTCGATTCTGCCGTGATTCCTAACCATCTTGGGATCTTAATATCACTTAAACCATGTCAATAATTAAACTGTGAAGGAAACCTCTTCTTTATATCAAAAATAACTTCTGAATCCCAGGATTCTTTAGTCTTCCAAGTTTCTTGAAGCAAAAGCTTAGGCTGTATTAAAGCTAGAGCAAGAGACCTAATCGGATTAAAGAATCGGCTTATAAGGGACAAAATTCTCATCTTTATTAACATTTCTGATTCTGCCAGTTTCAAAGATTGAGAATAGATTTTTAATGTGTCAGAGTCTTTCTCCCACATCAGTCCTAAAACATGCGCTTCAGAACTTGAATGAGGGCAAATAGAGGGTATGTGGCTCTCCCCACCTGTCAGGTCAAATTGGCATTCTTTCATAACCCCTGTGGCTTTCATTATAAATGTTTCCAATTCTGGCACATTCCGTACACTCGTAACACAATTATCTACATAAAAACTGTTTCGAAGATTTACTAATAGTTCTTCCGAATATTGTAGCTTGAACGTCTCTTGAGACAAATGATGATGAATGAATGCCATCAATACAAAAGGTGTGCTAACTCACTGTACTAACTGTAAACAGATATATCTTAGGTGACAAGTGTAGAAATTATCGGGAATTAGATGCTTATGATATCTTATTTTCATTAAAATAGAACAACTAAATATTTTTTAATTGTTTTAGAAGAGGCATTGCTTTGCTGTGATGCTCTTCGTTTCCTTAATGAAAAAACAAATTTATGAATTACTCTTTCATTTTTGAATAAATGAATAAAAATTAATTACTGATTTAACGTGAAATTAATATCTGATACTTACTCTTTTTCTTTCTAATTAACACACCATTAAAAATTTGGCTTTCTAAAGAACTAAAATTTCTCAAATTATTTTCCTTCAATTTAGTTGGTTCCTTAAAACGAATTTTTATTCCCTAAAATGGAGTTTTATTACCCTAAAATGCACTTCCTAAAATGTAATTTTGAATGCCTACCTTGTTTAACGATTAAAGTTCTCATTTGAGACTAATATTTTAGTTGTGAATTGATTTATTAGTTTTGTTTTGTTTTAATTCTTCGTTTTTAATTAATGTTCTGTTATGCAGCTTTTATCTCTCAGTTATCCATTTCTCCTTTATAGTTGTTACATCATTGCTGCATACTATTAGTTAAGGTTTTTATGTCGCTTGCTGGAATTCAGGCTCTTCTCTATTCGTGAAATGGTTGGTATTAGTCACTGTACTTTCCGCAGTCTTATAATTTTAAATATGATTTTCATAAGGCAAATTTCTCTTATTTACTTTTTCTTTGAATAAATTTAATATAGGGCAAATTTCTCTTATTTACTTTTTCTTTGAATAAATTTAAGATAGATAGAAAATATAAATGATAATTTTATTAATCGTGTGCCGTTAATTTAGGTATATTTAACAGTTACGCAATTAATTATATTATAACATAAATGCATAATGAAATACAACTTACAATGTTATTTAATCATACTTACCGACATAATCTCTTTGCTAAATTCTCATTATCCCATTCTCCTATGCTGTTATTCGATTTCTCATCAGTTTCAGCATTTAGAACATTCTCGATGGCGTTGAGAGCACAGCTGTGATATAAATTGCGAGAGTTTCGTAAACAGGAAACGTGTCGACGATATTCTGCAAATAAATACATTTTATCGATTTCAGTTTCAGATTTCTCTTTTGATAGTAAATCTTCAATGCTCACTAAACGTGCGACAGATACTTTGTAAATATAAAGAGTTTCGTCTCATATTCTTCAATCACATTCAAAGCTTCAAGATCGTGACTGCTTTCATGATCATATGATGGAGACTAATTAAACTAAATATATTAAATATAGTAAAAATGGGTGAGAGACTAATTTCCTATATACAATGAAATATAGATTTTATATTGGTGCTGTGTTCTACAAAATTGGGCATCAGTTTAAAAAAATAAAGTAGAAATTAAGCAAGAGAATAGTTTGCTATATACAGAATGATATACACCGACGAGCCAAAACATTATGACCATCCCCACATTTTCCAGTGAACTCGACTGGATGACACGTGATTAAGTGGGAATGGTATTTAACTGCTGCTGGAGAAGGTAAGGAATCAGTTTATCCTGCAGTTCTTAGTTAAGGTTCTCCCATGATGTATTGTATGTGTGTCTACCCTAGCCGGGTTATATGAAGTGCCAGTAATGGCTGGATAAAATTCCAGCTGAAACTGTCATGAAGGATAATATCATAGTATCTACACAATTCATCATAATAATCGGTGTTAGTTCTGTATATATATTATTCTCATTTTTATTATTACGTGTTTAACCAAGATTTTATATTTACTTTATCATTCCTGACAAAGCGAAACAGACTTTGTTCCTTCCAAAAGCAGGTATAGACTTTGTTCTTTCCAAAGCAGGTATAGACTTTGTGTATATATATATTTTCATCTCTCGTGTAAGCTGTACTCGACCTCCGGTTAGAAATATCAAGGAAACGACCTTCAAGATCTGCTAAAATTTTGAGGAAATTCATTTTCTCATACTGTATATATTTTTTATTTTTTCGTATGCATTTACTGAATAATCGTTTGTCCAGAAAAATGCCATGTACATAGAAAAGATTGCCTCACGATTATTCACGCAACAGACGGTGTCACATGAGATAGCTTCAAGCTTATTAGCTTATCCTACAGCTCAACAGATGACACAAGAGATCGCACTTTTCAAATTCTCTAAGTGAGTTCTAACACTACTGCGTATAAGTAAGTTCCATCAACTGGATTCCACTCACCGGTTTTTAATACCATTTATGAATCAACAAATATATTACCAAAGGCTCTCACCGGCCGATCGCCTCTTACTAGGGATGACTATGACCTATTGTATGGAATCATTCTTGTTCTTACTTTTGCGAGTGAGGGAAAGGCTGCTGATGTAAGCGAATTTGATAAAGGGCAGATTGTAATGGCCCGAAGACTCGGTACGACGATCTCTGAAACTGCACGATTGGTATCTGCCAATTGGAAACTGTACGATTGGTAGCTGCCGCTGTTAGTATTGATACAAAGTAGATAAATGACGGTGAACCAGCAGTTTACGCCAGGTTGTTGCACGTACACGCGTCGTCAAAGAAAAAAAGAATTCAATCAAGAGGGAGACTGTTTTGCTTGGTACAGCAAAATCGGCTTCAAACAGTAGCTCATCTAACAGCCTAATACAATGCAGGTTCAAACGCAAGTGTTTCGGAACACGCAGTTCAGCGGACACGGTTGGATATGGACACTGCAGCAGACGTTCTTCTCGTATACCTCTGTTGACCAAGCGTCATTGTCAACTACGCGTACAATGGGCCCGGGATCATCGAGACTGGGCCATGGATGAGTGGAACACATTTGCCAGATCGGATGAATCACGATTTCTCATTCATCACGTCGATGGTGATGTAAGGGTATTCGTCTTCCAGGCTAACAGCTGCTTTCCGCCTGTACAGAAGGTCATATACAATCTAGCGGTAGAGGTATATGCTTTTTAAGGGACGTTCTCATGGGCGGTTGTGAAACTCTTAGTTGTGGTAGAACAGGCCATGAAAGCTGTGGACTATCTGGACATAACATTGCGGATCAGTTGCAACCTTACATGGCGTCTGTCTTCCCAACTGGAAATGGAATCTTCCACCAGGACAAGCTTCGTGTGACAAGGCTCAAATTGTGTTGGAGTAGTTCGATGAGCATAAGGAGTAGCATAAGGATTAAGGAGTTTTGAGTAGTTCAAGAAGCATTCCAATTAATGTTCTGGTCACCTAACTCGTCAGATCTTAAACCGATAGAACACATTCGTGATGTCATAGAGCGGCAACTCCGAGCTCAAACACCACCATGCGGAATATCTCAACAGTGCGTGATTGCTCCTTAGACATTTGGTACAACCGGTCTGCAGTCATTTACCAAGAACTTGAGGCATTCATGCCTTCTAGCATCCATGCAGCTGTTTTGCAGGCCAGAGGTCGCGCAATACGTTATTGAGTAGGTGGTCATAATATTTTGGATCTTCAGTGTATGTTGTCGAGTTGATCGTCCATGATGGCTTACTTGTAAAAACCGGAAATAAAAATTAGGTAATGGTTATTTAATAAAGAACAAACTCTTTTATGATATCTGGTATAAAGTAAATATTCCATGTTTCTAGAGTTTTCTACAATCGTAGCCATCATATGCAATCATAATCATCATATGTTAGGTCATTAATTTAAACAAATCATATGTCATTAATTTAAACAAATAAAATAGAAATGTGTAAGGTAATAATTGTTTAGATATATGATGAATGAAATAAACCAGAGCTTCCATTTTTATGTTACATTCTACAAGATACAATCCCGATAACACGGTAGTAACTGATTTAAACAAATAAAGCAGAAATGGATAAGAGAAATTTAATATATACATAACTGAAATAAAACAAAGCTTTCACATATGTGTTTTGTCCAACAAAATATCATTAATATCCAACGAAAAATTTCGGTTAACCATGTAAGAAAAATTATTTAATTGATTAATTTGACTACGAATTACGAGAGCGCTGTTTGCTTAAAATGAAGAAAAAAATTAGAAAAATACGTAGAAATTAAATAACTGATGAATGGAATTAGAAGTAATACCGTATTGGAAGAAAATTACGGACTAAACCTGCAGATCTCTAATATAATTAGAATAACAAAGACTATGTAATTGGTTTTCAATAAACATCTTCATTTATAGCGTATTTTATGCCTTAACCGTAACTGGTTAAAGAAGTCTTCAAGTTTAACATTTGATTGTTTATTAGTATAATACTGCGAATGAAAAGTTTATTTTGCAGTTATTCAGCTATGTTTCATAAAAATATTTAATCAAGTTCTGTATCTGAAAGGATAATAAGAAAAGCAGAAAGTAATCAAATGCGGAAAGCAGCTTTTGTTGCAAAATCACAAAAGTTTTACAGAAATCCACAAAATACAATGTGAAAAACAGCAGATAAATTACTGGATATTCGAGGAACTAAAATTACCTCAGTCTACTCATTGGTTTCAATGACCTCGTTTCACTCATTTTAGGATATAAACAAATTGCGAATATTACTATCATTAAAATATTTATTTTCTTGCGTAATATGCGTTATGAAGTGAAATAATGCATTACCAATGAATGATTAAATTTTAAATGGAATACGTTTTATGTGTAAGTTTCCTAAACTATTAAGCATATAAAAATTATCATTTTATGTTTATTTAAGATAATATGTAATTTAGAAACAGATTACTCAGTTATAGTCATGTGTTAAATTAGTACGTAATCCGTTGATCCTTTTTGCAGTACGTTATTTGCCTTTACAACACTTCCCGTAAAATGCTACAATTGTTGTTTGCTGGATAAGCAGAGCACACTCACCAATTCTTAGATAGATATCCCTCCAGTACTTTACCGTAAACAAATAAACCAAACCAAACCACTCACTAATTCTGGATACTTATCACATTTTTTATGTCTTTGCAAAATTTTGAAGCAGTTATCGTGAAGAAACACTTTCTTCACGATAATTGATATGTTCCTGTCTGAGTTTCTCTGTTAGCTTTAAACTGTTTTTTCTCTTTAGTTTAAAAGATTAGTATTTAAATGACAATTCGCCAGGAAGTTACAAGACACTATAAAGGCAATTCTCCCGCATTCCTAGCGAGCCTTCGTAGTGTAGTGGTTCTGCACGCTGGGCCAGTATCCAGAGGTCAGTGGTTCGATTTCTGGCGAAGGCGTTGCTAATTTTTCATGTTTTCCTGCTTCCAAAAATATCCTAATGTCTCTACAACACTTTTAGAAACATTCTCCCTTACAATGGCTCTTCGTGATTTATCGATTTTCCTTGACATTTGTATCTAGATTTGCAATTATCTAGTTTTTACTGAAAGATAATTAGTTGTTCATGTAAAATGTTTTCAGATAAGGTATGGAAACGTTGCTCATTTTTGGTTGAACTCTAATCGAATGACAAAATCTCAAGCGCATCTTCATAATTGTCGTATCCTCATTATTATTTTGTTCACAATTATCACCATCTTCTGATCGGTTTTAGCCAAAAGAATCATTGATAATTCGCTCATGATCATCTTACACAATAAATTTTCCTATGCTTCTCTAATTCAGACCCTGTCTAAATACAAACATGGAAGGACGTAAATCCTGTATCTTCCAGATTATTGGGGTTAAAATATGTTTTGTGTTCAATTTCTAATATATAGTATTCTTGAACAATCGAAAATAGTGAATCAAAAAAATAATGTTTGCAGAAAAAAATGCCCAGTAAATTTTAAAATTGCAAGACACATTTAAAAATTAGTATTTCTCGACTTAGTAGTTGATTTGTTGTTGTCGATGCTGTAGAGAGATGGTGCTATGAGGGTAATTTTGGCGTTCCTTGCTGTTCTGTAGACTAGGATAGAATTTTAGGTCCGTTTGTTTGTAACTTGAAGCTTCAGCAGATCAGAACAAAAGCTACCTTTTGTCTTGAACATTAATGTTTCAGTTCTGTGATTACAATTAATGTTCTGGTCACCTAACTCGTCAGATCTTAAACCGATAGAACACATTCGTGATGTCATGGAGCGGCAACTCCGAGCTCAAACACCACCATGTCGGGATATCTCAACGGTGCGTGACTGCTCCTTAGACATTTGGTACAACCGGTCTGCAGTCATCTACCAAAAACTTGAGGCATTCATGCCTTCTAGCATCCATGCCTTCTAGCATCCATGCAGCTGTTTTGCAGGCCAGAGGTCGCGCAATACGTTATTGAGTAGGTGGTCATAATATTTTAGCTCTTCAGTGTATGTTGTCGAGTTGATCATCCATGATGGCTTACTTGTAAAAACCGGAAATAAAAATTAGGTAATGGTTATTTAATAAAGAACAAACTCTTTTATGATATCTGGTATAAAGTAAATATTCCATGTTTCACCTTTAGATATGAAAGTTGAGATATTAATGTTATGGGCTGTCTGCTGTGTATTTATGCGAATGAAGATATAGCAAATTAACTTGCTTAGCTACATAACTGCGAAATGCATTTGAATACTAAAGGTCCTTGATGTATATGTTGGACTTTTTTAATTTATTATTACTTTATTTGGCCTTTTCTCGTTGTCTCATTTTATTCAAAATTTCACTCTAAACTTGTTCACCTCAGAGCAGAATTGCTGTTTACCCAGATAAAAATAAGCAGGGAAAAGAAACTGTTCTAAATTAAACAGACTGATTAAATTTTATGAATCCAAAATGTGAATACTTATCTTACTTACCAGATCGGAGATCCGAATTTTCATCACACAGTTCCGCAAAAGTGTCTTTAAAGCCACCAATAAGCATTGTAAATGTTTGATAGCCCTTCCGATCGCAAATGGATAAATAATTTTCTTTGCATTCAATATCTTCTATAATGTCACTGTAATATAACATAAAACATCGTGAGAAACACAAAAGCATTACGATTGTGATTTTCTACCGTTAAGAGGGCAATAAATATTGAAAAGTTTAGGGTATATTCTATTTTTAAAATGTATTGTACGAATAAATATCGTGATGATTCAGTCTTTCTGAATTCACAAACTATCATAATTGGCATGCAAAAATTTCTACAAATTAGTTGCTCATGCAAAGCGTTTTCAGATAACGTATGGAAACTTTGCTCACTTTTGGATGAACTTCAATCAAGTGACAAAATCTCAAGTGCATCTTCATTACTGTCATATCCTCATTATTATTTTGTTCAAAATTATCACCAGCTTCTGATCAATTTTAGCTAAAAGAGTCCTTGAATATATTCTTCACATTCTTCTTATGAAAGAAATTTTCCTATGCTTCTCTCATTCACTCCGTCTCTAAATGCAAACATGATAGGACGTGAATCCTGTAGCTTTCAGATTATTTGCATTAAAATATGTTTTGTGTTTCAATTTCTAATATATAGTATTCTTGAACAATCGAAAATAGTGAACAAAAAGTAATGTTTACAAAATGCTTGGAAATATGTCCAGTAAATTTTAAAATTGCAAAACACATTTAAAAATTAGTATTTCTCGACTTAGTAGAACTATTTGTTGTTGTTGATACTGTAGATAGATGGCTGTAGATAGACAAATTATCATAATTGGCATTCAAAAGTTTCTAAAGATTCAAGAAAGAAATGATAACTTATCCCGAGAAGGAAAGTATAATTGTGTATTTTATAAAAGTTATTATAGAAGTTATTATATATTATTATATGTTACAGATATTTTTACAAACAGGTAATACAAATCAACATTATTAAAATTTAGAACTTTTATCGATGTATAACTGAAGTATTTAAATTAATTTCTATTTTAAAAATTAGAGTTTACTTTTTTCCTTGAATACATAAGTAATTTTTTATTAGTTAAAAAATCGTAAAATTGTTATTTATGCAAAAATCCGATCTCATTTTAGCATTTGATTTGAAATAGAAAATTCAATGCATTTCGAGATAGAATACGCAGGATTCCCCTTCTTCACAATATAAAAATATTTCGCTTCAATCTCCTCGACAGAGATAGGAACGCATAAATCTCTAATCAAATATCTCTAAATAATCTAAATATTTCTATAAAATTTACCTGCAGTGAGTCTGTAGCATTTCTTCATCAAAGAGCGTTAAACCTGCTTCTATGAACGGTTTATTGGGACAAGAAGAATGGATGTCTTCTTCACAAGATATAGTAGCAACTGTTTGCCTGAAAACTGAGAAATACACACACAGAACGTAAATGGGATTTAAAATGTGCTTAACATATATCGCCTTTTAATACATTTAAAACTTTTATTTTACTTCTACAGGCAAATAAATTACTCTGAAGTTCAGACAATATCAATGATTTTACTGAAAATTCAAGCAGCAATTCCTTTGGCTCTGTGAGACAAAATGATTCATTCAGCTTCTTAATACTACATGCGATCTATTCACATGTCTGTTTACTTCTTATTACAGCTGTAGTCTTCAAAATGTATTCTGTGGAACACTGAAGTTCCGCAAATCAAAATTTGAAGATATTTTCGACTGCATATGAGTCTCAGAACTAAATATATAAAATAATTAATAAACTGTATATTATATTTGTTTCTGTTGCTATTGTTACGTAAATAACATGAGATATATCTTAATTTAGAAGTCAAACAACAAAAATCAGCGTTATATTTTCAGCTTTAATTTTTGCATCTTTTACATCAAGTACACACGTTATTCGTACATCTCCAATCCTTTTAACCATACGTCTATCAACAGCCATACCTTTTTTGTGTACGGCAAAGATTCCACGAGGGAAAAAGATATTTTATTGTTCTCAGAGTTGACAATGTTTAGGATCTTCTATGTTATAACCTTAAAATACAGAAGGTGTTTACACATTTTTAGAAAATTTAGATAAAGAATTTATAAAACCAAATTTTGGAATGAAAAATTTCTAGTAACAAATTGTTATTTTAAATGAGAAATTCTCCTTTTTAGAATAGTTTTTTTTAGAATAGTTTTAAATTTATTCTTCTTTCAAAATGTCGCATGTAAAACGCTGTGGATTGAAGTATATATTTTTGTGCTTTCCGAAGAGAATTCTGCCTATTCTATTGGTCGAAAACATTGTGAAGTGCATGGTATTAAAATTTCTAAATACAAAATAAGCAAAAGTTATTAATCAGAAAGGAAAAAACCGCATGCAAAGAAGACTCTAAACAAATACCCGAAAAACGCAGTACTTTTTCAAATGTTTCTAAAGCTAAATTGTTGGTAGCAAGAAAATATCCGCCGGGGGTGAAATCAGTCACAAAATCTTTAAATACATCTGTAGCCTCAATAAATAATATAACAAACTAAGATTTACCACTTACATTTAAAATGCGTAATTTTCATCAACTTATGTAGAAGCATGTGTCTCAGCGCAGAAAATTTTGTAGTATCCTTTATGAAATTATTTAACGGAAGATGAATGAAAATACACAGTGACCCTCGATAAAGCATGGGTTTACCTCAATGTCTCATCTCAACAGGAAAAGATCTACTTATGATCCAAAATGAAGAGAAAAAAATATACAAGTCTGGGTCCGTCAGTGTAAAGAATATTCAAGTAAGAGTGTAAAGTCATTAGGTTATTTTGATGCAAGAGACGTGAAAATGTGCACTACACTCACCGGGACTCGAACTCTGCAACACGCGTCGAGTGGGCTCGCAGTTCACTACGAACGTACGCGAAAGGGAGAGAAAAAATAACTTATGAGGGATTTACGATTGTCGCAGGTTTCTTAAAAAAATTAAAATTAAAAATATTAAAATCAACTCAGCACACTATCAAGAGAAAGTTTTACATCCGATATCTATAGAAGAAATTCCATTTTTTTATCGGAAGAAATTGAAGAGTAAAACATTATAAGGGCAAAGCAACAAGTCATACTTCAAAAAGTACCACTACATTCCTTGAAAAAATGAAGACTAATATTGGTATTGCATATATATCAACGAATTCTTAAGAAGTCCCCTGATGTTTCCCCTACGGACTATTGCGTCTCTTGGAAAAAGATCTTTCTAGTCCCAAACCCACCACAATTAATACACTAAAAATTAGCGGAAGAGGAATGAACATCAATACCGCTGGAAATTTTACGAAAAGCCCATTTATTATAGAAATCACGATGCTGACTTATAGTCCAGAAAAAGACTATCAGACTGAACATTTAAAAAAACACTCTTTGCATTTTAAACATTAATTAAACGGCCCCGAAATTCTTCTAAAAATGTGTAAACACTCACTGTATTTAGAGAGATGCTAACTTTTAATTTTTGATTAAATTTGATTATTTCCACCTTAATTAAATAAATAAAGCGTATTAACTAACTACATTCACAGTTTTTTAATATATTCCTAGCTCTCAATTCAAAACTTTTTGAAAATTGAGAATTAAGCTTTCATTTACCACCATTGCTGCTTAAAAATATGTAACATGGAAAAAACGTGATAAGTTTCCTGCTAAATTTTAGATCCCATAAAAGATTAAAAAAATAAGAGCTTTTTTTTAATCTTTTATTTAATCTTTTATGGATGTATTTTCTCATATTGTATAATTTCTTTTAGCTTGCTTGCCACAAAATCTTTAAAAAGTAAAAAAACATTTTAGAATTTAAACTTCTATACATTGTTTATTTGACAAAATTCACATATTGGATCTTCATGAAAGCACTGGGTTATCTTATTTAAATCAATTATTTTTTTGATTTCACATAGTAAGACAGTTATTTCAAAAATAATTTTTGAGAGAATAATTTTGAAATTATTTGCTTGCGTCCATAAAACAAAATTATTTTTAATTTCATGGCGATTGCAAATGCTCTTTTATGAGCATTTCTGATTTCTTTTAAATATTCTGACGTGGTAACCAGAAAAGGTATACTTAGGGGATGGCAAACATAAAAATACTTCGTAATCACTTAAATCGTAATATTTAATATATTTAACGTTATATATTATTTTTAATGAATTTATGATTATGCAATATAAATGCATTCATTTGGGGAAGTGTATTTCTAAGCTGAATGTGGGTTTCCAGATTTAGATCAAATATTTTTTTTTCCAACAAATCTCAAAAATTGCTGCACATAAATACTTCTTATTCACAAAAAGTTTCTGAAATAATTTCACAAAAAATTATAAAATATATGTAACAAATATAAAAATATATAGTACGTTTAGATATCTTGCGTAGAATTGTTTCTTCATAATATATGTTCTTTCCAAAGGCATCATAAATATAAAAATACTAGTGAAATTCTAACTGTAACTGCATCTGTACGCACGGTTAATAAAGTAAACGGTTATTAAAATGTAGACCATATACTCCCAATTATCTGCACGCATTTATGGTAAATCATTTTCATATAGAATTTTTAATTCTAATAATTTTTTAATAATTAATTAAATAATATTTTAGCTTATTTATTATTCAATAACAAAGGATGTAAATACTTATTTTCTAAGGAATCATACATACCATTTAAAATGAATGCACAGTATATGATAATTATGTAAAGCTCCATGAGTTCTAAAATATTAGCAAGGCAATTTCAGTATGGCAGCTGTAGAAATGAGCAAGAATTTACGTTGTTATTGCATTCGGCGGCAGACTGCTTTCATCATAATCAGGAAGGAAATTTCAAATAAAGTTTCCAGTCAGTGTCCCTGTTGGCAACAGTTTCCTGATTACTGTATCCTCAATTATATTGATTTATCAAGAGCTTGTGGGCAGAAGAATTTGCGAAGGTCAGAATTTTACCTAATGCAAAAAATAAATAATTAAATAACTTAATTTTCCAAAATATGTAGCTCTTATTTTTTATGACAGCATTCTTATGACATTTATGACATAATTTAGGACAGCTTTGAAGGCGTTAAACATTACATTTCTACTTAAATAAAATTCAGAGACTTTGTTAAAATGTTGAGGGGAAATTTGAGAAACGGGAGGAAATACGCAAGTAATTTAACGGTACTTTCAAAGAAATGGAAAGAAGCACGAGTCGAATGCATGTTGTTCATTTATTCGAAAACGCAACTGGAATAAAAACTTCCATGTTCAATTTTATGGCCTTCCGAGTGGTTTAGCTAGACACAGTTTCGTTCTAAAACAAAATTTTAATTATTTGTAATATTTTTCATTTTAAGTATTCGTTTGTTCTCCTTCCTTTCTTTATACAACTGTATTATCTTTATCTAATAAAAGGCTGAAATTTAGAAAAAGTTTAGGGAATATGTAAAAATAAAACTTAAACTGCCTTCCCTCTTCCTGTACTGAATTTACAATTCTTTCATAGTCGTAAATAAAGTAATTCATCTTTGAATTCTTAAAAAACAGCATAATCTCTGCCATACGAATCAATGTTTTATCAGAAGGATGTTATTTACTAAGTATATAGGCATCTAGTTTGAGCCTGTTTAAATGGAAATTTTGGAGGCTTTTATTTTTGCCAAATGTTGCATTTTCTAATTAATATCTTGATAATTTCTTTGCTGTAAGAGCTTTCTGGTGATAAGAGTGATTAGAACTGCTTGAACGCGAGTAGCATTTTTCAAGGCTAAGTCTCTCACCAAATAGACTCATGGATAAGCATTTCGTAGTTTTCCCACATTATTGCCAAAAAAAAAATTAATAAACAAATAAATAAATTTAAAAAAATCTGAAAGGTTTCTGATTTTAAATTACATCCAAAGGGGCATTTTTTAACATTTTGTCTGTTACCTTTATTTATTAAATACAACGTTCTTCGCACTTAAACCATAAAATTCAGTTCAAGAACAATGTCGCAAAATAGTTTTAAATTGAGTATATCTTTAGAATTTCCGATACAGTCCCGCGCGCTGGAGATTAAAATGTTTTTTCTGTACAACGTTGCCATTTCCCGCTTTGAAACACTTAAGTTTGTTAATTAAAAATTCGTTAAAGTTTTACAAAATAGTAAGTCGATAATAAACAAATTCCAGATTTAAAATTTGGGCTTCCACATGCCCATATTCTCAGTAGGATTACGTCATTCAAAATTCGACGGCTCTATGTACCGTTGTTTTATCACAATGCGAGAAATATACATATATTTATGCAGATTTTTCATTACTTAATTTCTTCAAATATAATGCAGAGTTCTAACATTTGGTGGCAACAGTTTGAAAAGTGAAACGGACATTTATAGTGGACATCTTTTTTTTTTTTTTTTTTTAACTACAAAAAGAATACTTCTACTAAAAAATATAATTAAGTTATAGTTCGACTAAATTATAGTTATTCAATTAAATTATATTTCATTTTATATCATATTTCATATTGAATTGTTCATTTTTTAAGTAATCAATAAAATATGCACTGCATACGTAAATTTATATATATTATGAGAAAAAAATCACCATTTTAGGTTTCCAGGGTTGGAAATCAGTGCGAATCTTCACGCATATTTCTGCAAATATGAAACAAAGGTTTGAAAGACAAATGACAAAAGTATCACCCGTTAACACGGGGATTTTGCCGCCGTAAATTTCCTCTTTTTGCCGAACCGCGAATTCTTACGCCACCCTCCTCACCTTGCGGCAAGGAAACCCCCCTTCTTGACGATTTTAAGTGTTTTGGCAGAATGCCAGAGAAGATTGCGTTTGCCATGGTCGAAGTATATTTACGCAATATTAATTAATGCAAATAATATCACAAAGGAAAACTAGATATTATGTAGCCTATTTTAATCTTTTGTACTCACCATGCATCAAAACAGTAATATACCATTAAGGCGCTAATGGCATTTTCGTAAAGTGCAGAACCAATTCAATTTGTTATCAAGAGCTGAAACTAAAAAAGAGTTCCCGTATCAGACGATTTAATCTTCGAACATAAGTCAGCCCCAAATGATATTTTGAGAGCAGTATCAGTGCTAAAATTTAAGAGACAAAAGTTTTCAAACTTAATAACCCCACTAATTAATTAAAAAATTCGAACAGTTAAACGCAGTTGTAGTAGATGGTGTAGTGGTGTATTTAATTATGGCAAAGCACACTAGGGCTATCTGCCTAAGAGGAATGCCTTCGTGGAGGACTTTCTAAGGGAAACTGGCTCGTATGCACGTTACACATGGGGAAAACCACGAAAACACCCATGCAGCCAGCCCGTTCGCGAGATTCGAACCGCGGACAGTTGTAGTAGAATCTGGTTAAGAAGGTTCCTCATAAGATGTTTTCTTCTCTGAGTAGCCTGACTTTTTTTTTTTTTTAAATTCCAAAATATACTCAGTTTTCTCAAAACTCAGTTTCCAAAGTCCTTCAGAATGACAAAGGAAATTAAAGCCTTTAATACAAAAATATCAAGAACACGTCAATGGGTATTTTCATAGAATTTTAATTATGAAAATACAAAAGTATGTTTATGAACTGTTGACAACTTATCGGAAAAATTATTTGACTAATGCTGTACACTTTAACTTCATGTTCAGAAGGTACTTCTCGTTCGAAGAAAACGTTCCATTGTAAAATTTTAAGTTAAGCAAAACGTGACCTGAGTTTGTCGTAGATGCTTTCAGAGAAAAAAGAAAAAAAACAGACTTTTTTTAAAGATAATGAAGAAAGACTTGTCTCTGATCACCCTCAAAATCAATAGAGTTATTCAAAATGTACATCAAACTAAGATTGCATTTTTGATTTTAAATGGTTGATTGAAATCGAAACCAAGATGTCTGGCAACTTTACTCCTGATATGGCGACATTCCTCTATTACTTGGCAATTTTTATACCCTGTTTTGACATTATTTGATAAATTTATCTTTTATTGAGGACTTTATTTTTAAAAATTTATTCTTTTATACTTTAATCATATTAACCGAATTCTTGATCACAATAAGTGATACATTTTGCATGTTTTCAGATACAAACAGCGGTACTCAGAGGTCTTTATATATGATTTCTAGTGGGTCTGAGGCTCCTTCTGCAGTTTCACAAAAACCAAAACCAAAAAGCTACTTACTAAATTTTTTATCGATCATTTAATTTTTTTATTTTACTCTTTTAATATTGTTGATGGTTTTTAAGTTTTTCACTAATTAATCTCTTTTTTTTTAATATCCTTTTCCTTGGTAATAAGTCTTCCTACTTAACAGACTCATCAGTAACTGGGCAATAAAGTTCACTGAGTATTGATATTTCGACATGGATCCAAATCCTGGTGAATCCTGCCTGCATAAGCGTTTTAATGGTTTTGCACATGTGTATTATAGATACAAGCCGATTTCCTTTAGAACGCCTTCCACGAAGGCAGATTCTTTATCCTCAGACTGTTGAAAAACTTCCTACCATACATTCTACCATACGTTTGGCACTTCAAAGCCACGTTGCTATACTAATGAAATCCACAATTTTTTTAACAGTTTTATTCATTACTAAAATTAAATAATCACTTACGTATGTTTCTAAATTTTAGGACAAGCTAAGATGAGTTAACCTTTTTTCAGTTTCTATCTAATAACATTTGAGATATTTTTTTAATTTTCTTTGTTAATATGAAATAATGAATTAAAAAATGGCCCTTCGTAAACAGTAATACTGTAGTAAATATCGTTACTAAAATATTAACTTAACTTTAAATGATAAAACTGGCTCTTCTTATCATATTAAAAAGAAATAACAAGCTGACTTATTTGTTGATTCAAAACATCAAATGGATAAAATTCACAATAACAAAATCTCCCTTTTCATCAGTGTTACTAAAATAACTTACCATTTGGACAAAATTTCACCACGTCTTCTAGTATGAGAAATCATCGTAGATAAGGCTTATCTTTTATGTTTTGCTTTAAAACAAGATTAGTCATCTAGCAGTTATCCAAGTTTGCCAAGGGCGTAACGCTTTATTTGCGTTTTTGGCGGAAAGTTGCTCTGTTGCAAATCATGGAAACTGTTGTTTTGAAAGTAGAATTCATCTTTGAAATAAAGCGTATTTAAAAGACCCTGTATTCCAGCAAAGTTATCGAACATTAAATTAATTTTATTGCATATTTTTTATCTACAGAAACATTTCAAATAACTGAAAACGTTCACTCGACACAAATTATTTTGGTAGATTTTCCTTAAACATTTTATGCTGTACTTTCCCATTTAATCCAACAAGACTACAAAATATACATTTTTTTTAATAAAATGGTTGTGTTGTTTACTTAAACTTATAAAACTTCGTATACGATTTTTTAGGATTAAAAAAGTGTAATGTAGAATTTTTGGTGCAAACTATTCTCGTAGATTGAAGAAATTTTGTGATTTCTAATTTTCTTCATTCAAAATCTGTTTTCATCGCAAGACTAAAAAGAGTATTTTATTTAAAATTATATGAAACAAACCACTTAAATTTCTGACAATTATATTAATTTCTCATTAGCAAAATTTAGTAATTTTTTTTTCTAAAATCCTTCAGCTTTCGGTCCGCTGATTCATCTAGTTTCCAGACCAGAAGCCTTTGCAAACTTCAGTTACGCGAAAGTAAAGTTTAAAATACGTAAATGCGTAGCGGTAATTAAGCTTATTTCTTGCATCAGGAAGGTGTTCGTCTCTTTAGAGTTTTGCTTTGTGACTTTCCGTGATAGTGATTTGATAGCAGTTTGTTAAGAGTATGTTGAAATAAAATTTCTCTAGTTTAAGATGTTATATTTTCAGGTAGATTCGACAAAAGGTAGGATGTTATATTTTCAGGTAGATTCGACAAAAGGTAGAATGTTATATTTTCAGGTAGACAAAAGCTATTAAAAGCAACTGTTAAAGCTGTTACGGAGGCGTAACAGCAGTTATTCAAATAACCGATTCACTTTCCTGAGCAAGCAAACAGTGCTCGACAAAACAGAGGGTAATTCTTTTAGAATTCATACTCAGAATGCTCTACTTGAAAGCTTGCCAGAAAAATTCGATTCTTAATTTAGGGAAGAATCCCCCATGTTAAAACTGAGTTTAATTTTTAACATTTCCCAGCTTTTGAACAATTCTTTTTTTCCAGAATTTTATTGTTAGTTATAGGTAATTTAGGTTAAATTACCTGTAGTTTCATAGCTTCAGTTCAAAGAAATCAATTCAGGGTTTTAACACTTTCTGTAATATCGTAGTGAGTGTTTGCACATGCTCTCTCAATATTATCATCAACTGCAACATGATCTAAAGATGAAATTTTATAATTTCCCTCCCTTATGTCCGTGATACTAAAAATAGCTTGCAATTCCTCTGTGGCTTTTTCTAAATGAAAACCACATTTCCTGAAATAATTTCTCATTATGTTTTGGAAGACTTCCCCCCATGCTTCTTATCGTGTAGTTTCCGATAAACAATTTAATTTCTCTCTTTTCATCTTCTGAGCTATCCATCAATCCGCATAAAATTGTCTCCTAGCATTTTAGCTAATTCTACAACTTTTGTGGTCAAAAGAGCTCTGGAAATTAGAATATTGTTTGATCTCCTAGCTTGAAATGATTCTAGAAGAGAGATTTCAACATTTCTGGATTTTTCATCACTTTTGAGATTCTTTGAGACATTTGCATGTTTTAATAGTTCTTTATTAATCTTTGTTTAACTTTATTGCATAATGCTGTTTGGGAGCTACCAGCTAATATGATTGATGAACTCTGGCATAGATTTAAAGCCGCATGAAATGAAGTACCCGTATCTGTCCCCTATCTGTGAAGCACAGTTTGATTTGATGCCCAGCCGAATTACAGCCATTATTGCTGCCAGAGAGGGCATCTCTGTGTACTGAAATATGCACGGTGTGTATCCCAAACCATCTGCAAATTCAATCATACCTTCCTCCCATTATACTGTATGCGTACAATGAATAAAATTTTACCATTTGCTTTCTTCCCTGGTTTAGCGTTTTTATTGGCCAGCAGTGTAATTTCTATTGGTCGAATTGTGTTTCTTAATATTACATTTCACTAGTGAAAAAAAATAAGTAATCATACTGTTCCATTTTTATGAATTAATTGTCTCATATTGAAGAAAGTGAACATGAAGCACAGTTTGTTTTGTTATGTTTGAGTATGAGATTATATTACTGGATTATTTTCCCTACGCTGACTGATGCACAAATGCCATCAAATGGGACAAATAGCTAACAACATCATATATTGCAGTGCAACAATTGTTAAAAATCCAAACTTTAGCAAAAAATGTAGACTGTGTCATATTTTTTTAGTGACTGACCTTAGACTTTATTTAGCATTCGTTTAATATTCCCTAATGTGATAGTATGTTTTATTGAAAGCAGCCTAGAATTTTCGGATCAATCTTCGAAAGATCAGAAAGTGAAGATATTTAGATAGATCATATGCTGAAATATCCAGTAAAAATCTAAATAAATTTTTAAAATCTGAATTTTATTTCAGTCACTTTGCTTCACAATTTTTTAAAAAAATGCTCTCAAACTATTTTATGATTGTTTATTTCATACGAAAGCACATTTCAATGCACTTTGAACAAATAACAATAACAGTTTCTTCATGTACAAATAATGAAATGAGGTTCTTGGTTTTCCCTCTTCTAAGAAATATTTTAAACAGAAAATAATTTTTTTTAACTCATGCATTTTAATAATAAATTAGAAGCAGCCATTTGAATGACCTTGTGAACGACAGATTTAGCCTTCCTACCACAGCTTTTGCTTGCTGTGCCTTCCACGCAATCAGCCAGAGAGTAGATGAATCTGAAAATTAAAAGCAAGCTATGTTTAAATAATCTAAAAACTATATTAATCAAGCACTTTGCTTACTAAATTTAAGTTACGATTAAATAGTATTAAATTACACATTTTTATTTCTTTGCATGTTTTGTATCTTTAAATTAAAAATCAATAAAAGTGGTTAGAACTGTATGTTAATCAGCAAAAGCGAATTTGTTCGATTAGGAGTTGATTTAAATAGTGAGGTTTCCTTCCGAAAGAAATTAAAATTACTGTTCTATTTTTGTGTTAACAAATACCAAACTCAGTAGCTTTAATGAAAATAATTAAATTTAGAAATTATGAGTAAAAAATTAAATATTTTAATTATCGTCTGTCAAAAGTATTTGGAATGTAAAATAACGTCTAATATATCAGATGTTATATCTATGTACTATATTACATCACAGGAAATACCATAAAAAATTATTAAATGCTTCTATTTTTATTGCAGTTTCTAAGAAGTGTGAATGTATATTAAATAGTCTCTAAACATTATTTTACTTTTGTTGTAATTGCTTTATTTTTGTTGCAAATTTTGCTAAATAATTTATGTAAGATGTATTTTAATAGTTTTTTTCTTATCTTATAAAATTTATCTTAAAGATGATGTACACTTAATGTTAAAAAATATCTAAATGCTTTTTTGATGAAACCAATCCCTTCTTCGAAGTGTTTATTGTTTTCAATCTGAATAAAATCTAATGGTTTTATGAAATTTTGCAGTAATATAACAGATTGCAAACACCTATATATTTTTGTTTCATTATTTTAGTTCAAATAGTAATATACGTTTTAATATTTTTATATTTTTGCTCTTTTATGTGCCAAAAAATAAATAAATAAAGCTTTTCAAACTGAAATTCTTTTTAGTAGGTTTGAATTTTATTTTAAAGCTTTTATTCAAGAAAAAAGCAAGTACTACTAGAAGTTTACGGTTGTTTACATTGCGTTTGCCGTACTGGTATGGGTTGCTATATTCTATCATTAATCGCCTTGCTTGGGGATATTTTTTGGTGAAGATTCTGGGTAGGCTATATTAAAGGATAGCCGATAAAGTTTCAAATTTTGGCTGAAACAGATGCTATTTTTGGCCTTGCTCTCTTAACAAGGTCCTAGTCAGCAAATGCGCAGAGAAACATACCAGGATTAGCGTATTTTATCTTAGCTTTAAATTAAACTAATAATTTTTAACTTAATTTAAAAATTTCCTACAGTGGACCAATGTAACGTCGCTTCAGTTCCATCAAGTTTCTAATTTAGTTAAAGCGGAATGACAACACTTCTTTTTCTCTCCACGAAAAACAAAGTTCGGTATTTAACATGCGATTTAATGTGCATGTAAAATGTAAATAAATTTCATGAATAAGTATCTATAAAGTCGTAAGAAATAAAATATTGAGTTTATTGTAGTCAGCGAAGTGTTATTTTCCTATATTTGCATACGAGACACTTCAACCTGTCTGCAGTGAAGGAGTCTTCTAGTTTGAGTTTGGACGTCTTTTTCAAACTAACTGTATGATGTTACAAAGTCAATAAATACCATCTTCATTGGATTTGATAGAGGTCACCAAATTTTTATGTAGTCAGTTCATACAGCCTACGAAACCTGAAATTAGAACTAGCTACTATTTGTTACGGAAGTAATCTATTTGGCGGGGTGTTTTCACTGAGCTAGTATTGTATGCATATAGTTTCTTTGTTTTGGAATTGATCTTTCAATTTTGATATTTGGAAATGTAATTTTGTTTTTATGCATTATCTCAACCACCTTAGAAGAAGTGGCCGAATTTTCAAAATGTGCCAATTCTAACAACCATGCATATAATTGTTTTTCAGGCAACCATGCTTATGACAGTTCTTCAGTTAAGCAACATCGCCTGTTTCATGTAAGTTTCTTTTATTGTATTTCAATGACTTTTAACGCAGATCGTGACATTGTTTTGTCTTAAGCTCAGTTTTAAAATAAGTTCTTATGGAATTTACCGGCAATGGAAGAAACAGATATAACATTTCTGCAAGAATATAGTATTTTGCCACGCTTTAAAGGATATAATGCTGTGATGTGACTGGTAGATACCCAGCGCACGAAGTCGACATTGCGCCATTCTCTGATTTTGTTAAGCAGGCTGATACATAAAAGAAAAAAACAGTAAAAAAAATACAGAAAATTTTTTTGAAAAAATGTAATATTTTATTTTTTTATTTATCGTATAATCCTTATTTAGTAATTAAAATTTTCATTTGATACTGTTTGCCCAGTTGCGATAAATATCGATAGTTTGGCAATCTGTTTTAAAAAAATCACGAAAATGGCCATACTGTACCAAGGCAGTTTGCGCTTACACTTAAGGATCGATGATTTGTGCTCTTTCGATTTTTCAAAATTTATTGGCTCTTTTTTTAGACTATTTTCTGTAGAAATTTCATTTATACGAATGGAAGGCATACAATTAATCAAAGAAGCATTCATTATATATAACTTACTGACAAAAGAAACGATTGTAGAATTCAAAAGGAAGCGTATGGTTTGTATACAGGGTCGGATTCTCGAGCACTTGCTTGCACTGCAGCATCTGAGGTTTGATTTCGGATAAGCAGTGAGATCGGCTTTGGTAATCTGAAAATTGAATTAGAATTACTTCTTAGAACACAAGATTCAATATTTTATTATGAATTTTGCAAGCGACTTATATTTATCATAATGTAAGAGATAATTGACACATTTCGGTAATAATAACTGCTATGTGATATCAGATTTGCTCTAAAATCTGCTGAAAAAATTACTGTGAGTACCATAAAAAAGATATTTTCTTTCATACGATGGTTATATATTGAAACAAAATATGAATGAAAAAATGATTATTCAAGAAAGAACTTCTACTGGAAAATAATAGACTATAGCTTATGAAACAACGGCAGATACATATTAGCTATTTGATTTAAATCTAACATAGCTTTACTTTATTTATATTATGCTTCACAAGGATATAAATATAGCCACTTCTCTTGGTTCAACTTCATATCACGGCTCATCTTCCTCTTTTGTAAAAAAACTGTCAAAATTAATAATGAAAATGATGATAAGATTATTTCTGCAAAAGAGAAAGTTAAACACCGATTTGAAGTTGATTTTAATTAGCTTACGACATTTCAAGGGAATCTTCGGCATGTGTCTTCCTTCATCGATGAAAATCCTTGTTACTTTAATATGCACAAGGAGTGAGGAAAGAAAAGTGTGTGCATTTATGTAGATCCAATATTTTAATTAAAAACCTTTACTTTTAATTATATCGAACAGTATGACACTAAGTTTAATGGTATAAACTACACAAATTTTCTAATTAGCCAAATGAATTTCCATGTTTAATTTTCTGGTCTTTATATTCTTATACTCATTAATTTTATATTAATTTTTAAAACGTGTCCAAGTTCGTGGAATATCTTCCATTTTCAAACTTTTAATATTCCACTATTTAAGTAGAGACATTACAGATACTGCAATGAACTAGAATTAGTTAACAACTCAAGAAAATATTTACTTTTATTAAAACAAAAATTTATCGTATGGCATTCAGCACTAATTAAACTGACAAATTTTTGCGTTAAAAAATTAAGTTTCTGATGAGCTAAAAACGTTTTACCTTATACAGTTAATTTAAGAATTCAAAATCTCAATTCATACATAACTTACTACTTACGTATTATTCTATCGGCTACGAAGGCTATTGCTAAGCAGCGTGAATACTATATGTGACATAACAGCACATTCATAATATCTGCTTCTTCGTTTGATATAACCTCGATTAATTATCAATATGCCATCTTTTACTTTTGTAAACAAAAATATAACTTAACGGTTATTGCTGTATTTTCCCCCTTGCATTTTGAAAAAAAAAATATTAAATTTTGGGACCACCATCTACAGAACACCAAGAAATTAATCAAAGTTATGATATCCTATCATAAAAAATGTGTAGGAATGCACACAATATGTTCAGCGGAATATGGTTGACAAAGCAGTTATTAGATTGGAATAATCACCTGCGGGAAGTTTGTACTCATAACATTCTAAACAGAGCTTCAGTTGAAACAGAAGGACCTATCAAAATAGTAGAGCCTTTTTACGGAGCACAAAGACGAAGCGAGTTGTATACTAATTGTTTATTACATAAAGAGGCATCAGTTCTTTCAGAATTACTCAAAAATTATTGGCGCAACATTTCGAGATCTCCACCAATGTCTATATTTCCATGGTAACCAACTTTCGTGGTCTGTCGACTGGATGATACTTTAGTAGCGTAACTTTACTGTTATTTTCAATGTTAATACTTTGTAATCACCGAATGAAATATATTTCAGGTATATATCATGAGACTGTAAATAGATATTGCATAAATTTCTTTGCTACAGTATTTCAAAAGTAGGAATCTCTTTAAAAGACATCACCTTTGAAATGACCTGTTTGCGATGCTAATTTAAGAACTTTTACGAATATAGGTTAATAATAATTTACGAAGGCATTGATTCGCAAATTTTAGAACAACTATTCTTCTTTTCTTATTTTTTCCCATACGGAAGAAATAAGTTACAAAATATACTTTCTACGCCGTCTAACGTATGGGTCCTTTGGGCACTTGCTGTGGGTTCCCAAGCATAAAAACCCCATGCCAATAAAGATATGTCTAATATTATTTACATTTCATTTCTGTGAGTGGCAATCGTAAGGTCGTAGGGGGCCTCAGCACATTGATTTTCCAAGGAATCCATAATACTGTTAATACGTATTGTATAGTTTGGATTTGTTACAAAGAAATTTAAGATACTGTATGTTTGTCATTATGTAAGTTAACCAGGTTTTTATGATTTGGAACTTTACTATAACTTCTCATTTCCGTTTCCTCACCAAACTGTAAATGAGATAGATAGTAATTAAACCGAGGCTCTTGAACTGTTAAGCAGAACTTGTATCTGACACCTTTCCACGACTTTCAGTTATTCCAGATATAGCGATAATTCGCTTTACGTCTAGTGAGGTATTTGACTAATTAACATTTCCAGATCAAATAAAACCTCTTAATACGAATATACAAAAATATGAAATACTACATAAGTTTAATACTTCTTACATATATTAATGATATTAAATCTGTAAACTTAAATTTTTCTTGGTAGATAATTTGCCTTCCGTTTATTAGAACATTTAATCTCTATCAAATTTTGTTTCAAAAAGCATTTAAAATAATCAAACCAAACATTTTTTCTCCCTGTTTTCCTAAAATTCATATTTGCAGATACATAACTTAATTTCATGAATGCAGGAAATTAATTACCAGATATAATTATTGTTAAGGAATTTAAGAAATGTATTTTTAAGAACAGGTGATTTGCTATATCAGTTTAAAATCAAAAACTTACCGTCTGCTACTTTTGTGTCCACAGGACAAGCATAGTTTCTTTCCAGCATATCATCATCAATCATTTTCTCGAATCTCTGACGTTGAGTGTTATACAAACATCTTTTAAATGTCCTTGTTAGGCATTCGAAGGAATCATGTATGCGTCTAATAAAAGAATAAGGCTACAACTCTGTAAAAATGTAAGACTTAAGAGCACAGCATGATTTACGTAAAATTGACCTGTATATGCTTAAAATACGTAATTGAATTAAGCTCTTCAAGATTGATTATTTTCATTAATATGGTGTATGTGCTAATTCCTTAAGTGTTTCTTAAATAGATTTTTCAAATGTTTTAGATAAATTGTTACACATCGGGATACAAAGTAATCAAGTTTCGATAACATAATTTTTGAAAAATATCAGTAGCTTTCAGTAGCTTTAGTAGCAAACTGATATTCATAAAGAATTCAAGCAAGTAAGATTACAAGAATTATTTAGTCGTCTAGATATGACTTTGCTCGCTTGTCAGAATTCTTTTATTATTATCTAAGCGATTTACAATTATTTTATTATTATCTAAGCGAACAAGATTTGAACTATTCTTATCGAATCGCTTAGATGATTTGATGAAATCATCTAAGCGATTCGATAAGAATAGTTCAAATCTTGTTTAAAGAATTTTATTCTCTGTTGCTATTTGTTATATTTTACTAAGAATTGCTTTTGTTTAGAAAACTGAAACCTTTTTCTATACTGAGCTAATTTAAATTTATTTAGCTTCATTCATTTGCTTTTTTTAAGTTATGCTTTTCTTTCACTTCAACCTACCTGAATTATTTCAGTTATACGTATTATATATTACTTCAGTACTATTGTTGCCCCACAATTTTGATTTCTTTAATTTTATTAGCGATTGAAAATTCCTTCTCTAAGCTAACAACGTATTATTTTGCGCAGCACTAATCAAATTAGCCCATTTCCTGAGCTCTATTTTATTTCAAATATGGAATGGTTACAAAAATTGTTATTCATTCTGTATTTCTGCGAAATAGAACAAAAATATCGACATCAATAATACAATATACCTATCAATAACAGTTTACCACATTTGCCTAGATATTCTGAAAATATTTATTGCTTTGCAGTAAGTATTGATTTCACAAGTTACCTACCACTTGTTAAATAAAAATAAAAACAAAAAAAGGCCATACTATCGTTAGTTTCAAATTTTTACATTCTTTTTAAATTCCTAAGTTTAAAAAGAATGCAAAATTTTGAAACGTTTTTGTGAAAATAAATTTTTATTTAAACCAAACAAGTTTAATACTTTAACTGCATCTTCTTTTGCAAAAATTTTTATGAAATTTTAACCATTATTAAAGCATCTAGCAAACCCTACATGAATGAAAACATATTAATTCTTTTGCAGCAATGCGTACAATCTTGTATGTGAAATGATGATACTGTGATTGCATGAGAGAAAACAACTCATCTACAGATAGTAAGTCTAGCAACTTAATGCATTCATCGAGTATGGTCAAGACTCATTGCTCATTCAGCCGCCTCGTTGCCAAGAACATCGTTGCCCAAAATGCACAGAAGATTGATTTTACACCAGCGAGCACGTCGAAGTTCCGTCCCAATATTGAAGGAAAACCCTCTAGAGCACGGATACAAGAGTCTTCTACTCGTTCCTCCCTTATGACCAAATCTCTCGACAGGGCTTTTGACTGGCTAGTATTTCAAATGTTACCGTGCCACGCAGACATTATACATTACAAATATTCAAATATTTTTCTGCAGGATTCAAGCCCTAGCCCAACGATACGGCAACCAGCGGCGTTAATTACTATAAGAACTACAGCGATAATGCATTTTCTCATGATAAGAAACTACGTATATAAGAAACTACAAGAAGCCTATTTTAAAAGTTTTTCGATAGAAAAACTCATTGTAGTATCTTCAGCTACTTCTCATCTTCTCAGCTTCTGAACTTGGATGATCTTCACTTCAGTGTGCCGGCTCGTTAGTTGCTTCCACTCCGGGAAACAGTGCCGCTCCTCCAGCGTGCCTAGGAGGACCTCAGAGGGGACTAATGACATAACAACTGGGAATATTCCCAAAAGTTCAAAAATTGTGGAATATATCTTTGGAGAACAGTTCCGAGAGTAGTAGAGAGATTTTTCCTGTCTAGCTATTCTATCAAGAGTTAAACCTAGGCTCGCAGCACTTGAACTAACCGTAGATGAAGAACCCGCTACTCGCATACGAAAAGTCGTAGTTCTTTCTTTTCTGCCAGAGAGAACGATCAACTGGGCAAGATAAAACTTATACAATTGTTGAGTAGTTTGTTCTGGGAAATCTCGACTCCTTCAAGACCTCAAGAAATTTTTCAGCCGGAAACTTACAAAATTAGCGTAAACAATAATTTAATGCAGGAAAGAAAACATTTATTTCTAGATCGTCTAGAAGCATATTAAACATAACTCAAAAGATACCACTTACTTTTCCTGACTTGCTACAACCCTTTTGTAAAAGAGCAATTACTTCTAATCAATTAATAATTTAGAAACAGAATGGAAAACCGGAAAGCTATATAACTCCTAAGCTAATTTGATTGCATATCAGTTAGATTTTGATGAAATCATCTCTTCTAATTAGTAAGAAAATTCATTTGTTAACCCATAACAAACAATTATATGAGCTTTATAAAAATATTCAGTATATTTTTTACATCTCTTCTCTTTCTGATTTTGTCCACTAATTAGTAAAGCTAATAGTTACTTTATCAATCAAATTGACAACTTAACACGAAACTTGTTTGTATCAAATTTCATGCCGGGCAAAGGAGAATTAAAAGTACTGACCAACTTCGTTAAAGAAGCATTTTATAATGTGGATATAAATTCTTTTCAAATCTCCTGGTATCCGTGATATTTGCTGGAAATGCTTGATAGCAAGATTGGGAGTGAGTATTTCAAAGTCAAATATTCTTGAATTTTTTTACCAAAAATGAACCACACGACTACTTCCTAATTTAGTTATTTAAATCGATTTGTACACTGAAGAGCCAAATCATTATGACCACCTACTCAATTATGCGTTGCGCGACCTATGATCTGCAAAGTAGCTGCAAATCGCCTTGGCATGGATGCCACACGTTTTTAGTAGATGACTGGAGACAAGTTATGCCGAATGTCCAAGCAGCGGTCACGCAAACTCGAGATATTCCAATATGGTGGGGCTTGAGCTCTGAGCTGCCGCTCCATGACATCTCAAACGTCCTCTATCGGACTAAGATCCGGCGAGTTAGGTGGCCAGAACATTAACTGGAATTTATCCTTATGCTTTTCGAATTATTCCAACACAATTCGAGCCTTATGAAATGAGGCGTTTTCCTGCTGGAAGATTCCATTTCCAGCTGAGAAGACAGACGTCATGTAAAGGTGGAACTGATCCACAGTTATGTTCAGATAGTCCCCAACTTTCATGATCTGTTCTACTACAATTAAGGGTTCCATAATCGCCCGAACTTCCCCAAAAGCATAATACTGCCACCTCTAGTCTGCAAATAACCTGTACAGGGAGAATCAACTGCTTCCCTGGAAGACGGCGTACCCTGACACGATTATGGATGTGTTGAATGAGAATTCGTGATTCCTTCAACCAGGCGACTGTCTTCCTCTTATCGCCTTAAGTGCCTATAAAGTAACAGCAACGAATGCTGCACGTATCCTTGCAGGTCTGATCCCCATCCACATTCGTGAAGAACAAGAGGCTGTTTAAGCCAAAGTTATTCAATTACGGAGAGACGATATATTTTATGACACCATGCACAGTTCATTTAGGTATGACTGCTAAGGAAATATCCTTCAAATGCATCCCAAGCTCAAAGGTATAGGTGTGTACGTCAAAATTGATGAAGAATGGAGTCTTTCCATCTCACAAGTAACACGCCCTTTTATTTACACGGACGGTTCAAAAACAAGTGAGGGCATTGGAAGTGCATTTGTGGAGTTCAAAGATCAGAATCAAATATGTAACTGGAAAGCACATTTAGCATATTATAACAGCATTTTTCGCGCTTGCAGTATGGGAAGCTATACAACATATAATAGTTTCAAATAAATGGTAGTCAACCATATACACAAATAATATGTCCGTACTTTTAGCCATCACTGATCATCAGCACACTTCACCAATCATCATTAACATTCAGCAATTTCTACGAAACCATAGACATACGCATATAAACCTACAATGGGTGAAAGCACACGCATGAATAGAAAGTAAGGAAATAGCAGACAAACTAGCCAAAAAAGCTGCTAATGATATAATATAGCAGCTTTTGTACTTACTTATGCAGCTCCTCCCACACACATAAAAAAACTCTCTTGAAAAAAGCAATCCCAAAATGGCAAAATGAATGGGATCATGATGCAACAGAAAGACGAACGTATGACTTTATGCCAAACGTCTCAACTAAGCGCCTTACAGTCATTCCGCAGCTTACACAATTTACAACAGGTCATGGTCCATTTTCTGCGTACTTCAATTGGTTTAGAATCTTAGACACAAACGTCTGCGTCTGTGGAGTCGAAGTCTCCCCAGAACATTATATCTTCTACCGCTCTTTGACTAACTAAAATCATGTACGCTTACCAACCAACTACGAAGCAGCACATGCAAAACATTTATAATAAAAATCGTTAAATGCTTAAATGCTAATTGCTTATGCTTATATTAGCCCAGTTGGGCTTTAATAAGCTATATTGATCTAATCCCCTAAGGACAATCAGAATGTCAACTATCAGCTAGTTCCCAGCCAGGAAATCGGAGCGGGTAAGGAAAAGAGGGCCCATCGGCCATAGTGGCAAAGTCCAATCATCAAAGTAACTTAACTCTTACCCCTGAGACAAGAGTAATAATCACGTGTATGGAGCTATGAAGATGCAAAAGAAATGAAAATACATGAAATGTGCATAGGATACAGTGTTGAACATGTAATAACAAATGAAAGTGAAGTAATGTACGCATAAAAAAATGTGTTATTTACATATTTGAAAACGAGTGGGCTAAGTGACAAAATTGTGATCCCTCATTCTGTGAGCCGTAAAAGGCCTGATATTGTAGTCCTCAGGAATGCAGACATAGTTCAGTACAGCATTAAAGTTTCCTTTACTGCAATTCAAAGCCTTTGTCAAAGAACTTGCTGTTAAGTTTTTGCAGATATTTGTCAATATATTCAACTTGTAAATCATCGTGCAGGAGTTTGTTACGGATGTAAAAATGCGCTCCTGTCATGGTGCGTAAGATTGTGTTTTGAGTCACCTGCAATTTGTTGATATCTGAGCTCGTAGCAGTCGCCCAGACAGGGGACGCATAACACATAATTGGTCTTAAAATGGAAATATAAATCTGTCTTTTCCTTCTCAGATCTAACTGCGAGCTGCGCCCTAGCAGTACTTGTAATTGTTGAGCAATTCCTCTGGTCTTGTTTGCAATGTAATTGACATGCGTACTCCACGTGAGTCTTCGATTCAAGTAAACACCTAAATACTTGGCCTTGTTTACCATCGGGACACGTTGGCCGAATAGGTAAAGTGGCTGAACTGAGACCAGTATTTTCTTCCTTCTAACAAGAAGTAGCTGTGATTTAGTCGCATTGATGGAAATCTTCCACCTGGAGCACCACTCCTCAATGTCCATAATTATATCCTGCATAACAGAAATTGCCCTGTTAGGCTGAATAGATCTGACCGCTACAGCGGTGTCATCCGCATAGCAGGCCAGCAATGTATTTCTGTTGAGTTTATCCCGCGGGAAATCAGCCGCATAGAAAAGATAGAGTACTGGGCCAAGACAGGACCCCTGGGGGACGCCTGCAGCGATAGTTTTTGTATCCAGAATGACTTTGCTTGCAGCTAACAGTAAAGTAACGATTTGCAATATAAGATCTGGTGAGTAAGATCAGTTCTCTAGGCAAATTCATCATTATCAATTTATATATTAAGCCCTCATGCCAGACACGGTCAAATGCTTTGGCCACGTCCAGCATGAGCACTGCAGTACAACTCTTATGATGCAGAGCGGAGCCGATAAATTCCACAAGCCTAATCAGTTGTTTAGATGTGCAAAGTTCGCTCCTAAATCCGTACTGATCTTCCGGAAGTACCTGTAAATAAGGCTGGAATTTCCTTAAAATTATTCGTTCAAAGATCTTGCCTATATTAGAGAGCAAGCTTATGGGCCTGTGATTCTTCGCCTAATCGTGTGGCAATTAATGGTTTCTGTAGAAGTATCAATGTAATAACAGCGGTGGGCAAGATATTTGCCAACCACGCTAAATTAAAGTATTGACTAAGTCATAATTTCAAATCTATTGAACGTTTTAAGCAGTGACATCAGCTGAACAGGACTAACTTATGAACTTATGAACAATTGTTTTCTGTTTTTTAAACTGTTAAAAACTTTAAATCATAAAATAACAGCACCGTTATGACAAAACAGCAATAAGCGCTAATTTTTATTTAATTCTTTTTTCTTATGTGTTTACTTTTATATTCTGTCCTATGTCTATGTATGCATTGTAAGTCCTTGTTGAATGTGTATATTGTAAGTCAAGTACAATTAATGGTGTATGCATATGTGCTATGTTTTGTAATTCTATATAAATGCCGGGGATGCCACTCTGTACTACGAAAGCTGTTATTACCAATGTAAAAAAGACTAGTAATGCAAGATCTTGTGCTTAAAATATAATCTCTCGGGGGGCGGCTATCTTGTGATCCCTGAGAGCTGTTACTCTGAACTGGAGAGGGCGTCAGACATACACTTCGTTAACCAATGTTCAGGCGGGAGAGTCTCCGACGACCTTTACTTTAGTTATGCGTGGACGTCCAACACCTTGGTGTCTACTGGTAGTTTCACCTCATTTATCTACTTTGCATAAATACAAACAACGGCAGATCGTGAACATTGTCGTGCAGTTTTGAAGATACCCGTTTCGAGTCTTCGGGGCATTAAAATCTGCCTTCTATCCAATTCACTTAAATCAGAAGCCTTTCCCATCGCTTACAAGAGTAAGTTCAAGAATGATTCCTTACTTTAGGAACTTTGGAACTTTAGGGTTATACTGGTTTTTAGCTGGCGATATATTAGCCTTGCTCTTGCCAGTTCCTTGATGTATCCATGTTGTACCTGTTCACAACGGTTGTGATTCCGTAGAGTGATTTTCTGCCTTAGTGGACCTTACCTTACATTCTCCCAGCGCAGTTAAATACCCTTCTCATTTAATCACATACCCTCCACGTCATCGAGACGAGTTTATTAAAAAATGTGGAAATGGGTCATAAAGTTTTGGCTCGTCAGCGTAGAAGGTGCATAGCCTGTTTTCTTCTTGTTTCTTTTCAAAACAGCTCTCGCTTCTTCATATTCCTACATATGTGGAGAAAAGGAAATTCGGATATTTATCTATTCTTTTGTCCCATCACAAAGAACTTTCATATCCAAAAGCCACCAAGTGATTAGAACTTCTACAAGAAGTATGTCAGTTAAAATTTCACAAATTCTTTAAAAATTTAATCTTTTTATAAAGATCATAAGGTATTTCTCCCGCCTTACTAGCGTGCTTTCGTGGTGTAGTGGTTCTGCACACTGGGCCGGTATCCAGAGGTCAGTGGTTCAATTCCCGACGAAGGCGTTGCTAATTTTTCATCTTACCAGCTTCCAAAAAAATCCTAATGTCTCTACAAGCTATTATCATTTAATGAATTGGCATATTCTGCGTCCAAAGGCTGTAAGCACTTAAAATATTGCATAAATATTTTGTAGATCATTTAGCTTTTTCTGCGAATTCATTTTCATTCTTCCTATAATTTAATTTTAGATTTACCTTACGTGAACTTACATTATTTACTATTTTTTTTACATTCTAAAGCCTTTGAAATATTTAAGAATGTCAGAATTTATTATTTATCGTATTCTGTTTTATATATTCTGTTTCCGTATTAAGTACGACCTGACATTTACTAATTCTCTATATTAACACGACCTTTAATTCTTTGTAACATATACTTTAAAATACTATATTTGTAATCCGTTTTATGTTAACGAATCGTGCTTAGTTCACTGTATTCTGTAGGATGTTTCTAACTTAATAAACAAATATTGAATAGAGACTACCTGATGATGAACGGTATTCCTCTAATGTCTCTATTTATTCACTTACATAGATATAACTTCACTTAGATATGCTTTGCCCTTAAAGAGACATCCTATTTATTAGCTTTATTATTCACATTTACATTTTGTTTTGGACTTCTGCATTACGCTTACCATATCTTCAAGAGAATCTTTTTATGGTATCATAATGAGCATAGTACACCATCTGCTAACATTCTAAAAGTCGGGAGTTTGTCTTTTCATTATATTCGGAACAGGCATTGAACAAGTTTTGAACTTCTTTTTAAGGAATGGCAAAATTATTTTCTCAGATTTTTACTGTATTTTTCATTGCATTAACACTTTTATCAGTTAAACATTGAATTCTGGTAAGAAAACATGTTTTATCGTAGCCCTGAACCCATGCATGAGCTGTAATGTTAACAGAGAGATAAATAAGTGTTTATACCTACAAACGGCTAGAAATTCTTCTCCTTCTGTCATCTGATCGTCACTAAGAGCAGGTTCATGACTAAAATGCAGATGAGCATAGCACCTGTCAAAATTATTTTGCTGACACAAGGATTCAGATATTTTCTGATATCCTAAAACGAAAGAAATTTGAAGTTAGATGCATTCCTAAAATAGCATACCTTATCTGTTTACAAGGACACTCAATTTCCCATTGCCAGTTCAAACTATATTTAGCCTAAACTGTACTTATTGTGATGTAGTGTGTATTTAGTTTATATTATACTCTACTGAATCTGATTCTTGCTTAAATTATTTTTCTGAGAATCAGTTAGATAAGCTGTATTCAATATCTAACTGTTAAATTAACATATAACTATACTTGATAAAGGCAAATATTCTCATATTTTTCATATTGTCACTAATCTGTTACTAGTATTCTCCTAAAAAACGTATTATATGAAATTTTTTGTAACTTAAATCAATTAAAATTGCTTGTATTATTCAGTAATACCGTATTTTCCCCCTAGCCTTTTAGTGCCAGGTTTTGAAAATTCTAAAAATAGTCACACAATTTCTCCCTTCCTCGAACGCGTTTAGAGAACGAGCTCACCTAAATTTTAAAATGGATTCGTTCACGTAGTAACCGTTTGATTGTTACTAACAAACTCTTACTAACTTTTCGTCTTACTAACTCTCAGAAATTATCTTCGAACCTTTCCCTTCTAACTGTTGAACTTTATGCCAGCCAAATACAATAACCGACCAATCACATGGAAGCAAATACGAACTGACATCCAGTCTCCGATTTCGCTGAGTCGCCTGCACGCTCACCTTAGCTAATTATTTATGGATGATTTGAGGTATAAGGAGCCGGCATAGGGGCACTCTTAATTATACAGCTAGCCGGAAGTCCTCTCGTATGGATTAGTGGTAGGGGAGTGGAGTGGGAAACCCTCGGACCACACCCTGGTGTGCTGTCCTTCAAAATAGGCATGGAACGAGAATTTCAACCTCCTTGAGGCTCTGGCAACCGTTCTTCTGTGGAATACATAGAGACAACAACTACAAGATTATTTTATTAAGTGATAAAACTACTAGTATATAAATGCAAGATAACTTGGAAATTTTTTTACACATCGTATCTCTCTACATAGTATTTAAATTAAATAAAGAGTAGATAACATATAAATTCAATACAAACCTAGCTACTCGAAATGCTTCGGAGTTCAAGCAAAATGAAGCTTTAAAGAATTGAGACCTTATAAACAGATTCTGGTTTTTGTTTAAAAATGCATTAAGTGCTTGCTGAATACGGATTTGTGGATACGAGATCGCATGTACGACATATATTAATTGTATCGATTTAATTTTTCCAATGCTAGAATTTCATTTATATAAAGTTCAAAGCTCATTCATCAACACTGAATGCTTACTGGTGTAATACACTCTTTCGCAAAAAAATCGAAGCACCATGAAGGAAGTGATTGCATTTGATGAAATTGAATGTGTGTATAGCTCATACACAGATAATAAAATGATTAAAAAATTAAGGTCATAGTACCTGTTCACGGTTCACAATCACCCATTGAGTGTTCAAATTAGTAGTTGGTCGAACCACCCCTGGCGGCAATGCATGCTTGAATTCGTCGAGGCAAGGAGTGATAGGGTTCCTAATGTCATCCTGCGACACATTCTGCCAAGCATTCATCCGTTGTCGCTCCAGATCTGCGATATTTTGTGGTGCCCGAATCTGGAGGCCATGTCCCAGACATGCTCGATTGGTGAAAGGTCTGGTGACCTTGCTGGCCAAGGAAGAGTATCAACCGCACGGAGACAGTCCAGAGATATGCGATCGGTATGTGGCCTGGCATTATCTTGTTGGAAAATGGCCCCAGGATGACGTGCCCTGAAGGGTAATGCAACAGGCCGTAGGATGGTATCAACATATCGTTGAGCTGTAAAAAGATGCACGGAGGATGACTAAAGATGACCTGCTGTCATAAGAAACAGAACACCATCACAGCAGGTGTTGTAGCTGTATACCTTTGTAAGGCTGATTGGGACCGCTGGCCTCGTTCTTTCCAGACATGAATACGGTGGTCATCTGCTTCAAGAGTGAGGCGGGATTCATTGCTGAACACTATACGATGCCAGTCTGATGGCAGCCATGATGATCGGCTGCGACACGACTCTCGTTTTCCATCGATGTTGTGGGGTCAAAGGCAAACGTCTTAAAGGCCTCTGTAAGCGTAACCCCGCCTCAGACAAGCGCCGTGAGATGCTGGACGATACCACGGGAGGTATAGACGTGGCTATAGTGCGTTGAATAATCGACAATGATACCGTTGGGACTGTTCGGGCCTGGCGAATAATCATCCTATCTTGCCTTGAATTTGTGCTCCTTGGCCTTCTAGAGCTTTCAGCTCGTCCTGTTAATTTCCTTGTAGCAGCCGTTGCTGCCAACATCTTTGCACAGTAGTGTCTGTATGCATTAACCTTATAAGAAATAGACCAACCCAAATGGGTTTTCTCCCTCTTCTGACACTTTCCCTTTGACCACATCCGGAGGAGTAGGGACAACTTGTAGAAACTTAACAATGGTTGGCTACTACAGCGCATATAATTGTCAAGAAAAAGTTGGTTGTAGCGCCTCATTTTATAAATTAAAATTTTTAGATATTTTTATTTTTGAAACTGAGATTAATTTTTAAAAATTTATCATATTTATCAAGCATAATTGACGTTCCAAATAATTATAAAGCTGTTGCATGCTTTCAGGCCTGGATATTTTTTTAGTTTTTCCTAGACTGTAAGAAAATTTGTGACTACTTCTTTTAGAAAATAATATTTTAAATCTGAACTAATAGAAAATTTCAAACAAGCAATTCTCTTACAGTTTTATGCTTTTTATTGTTGTAAATAAGTAAAAAATACTAAAATACCTAAAAATGATTTTTTAAAAGATTTTGTTTAAAATTCTAAATTGTGCTGCTTTTTTTTTTTTTTTTAATTTTATTTTATGTGAATGTATAGCATAACTTTTATAAAGAGGTTTTACTTCAATTATATTTCATAATATATCTTAGTAATAAACACTTTTAACACCTTAATAATTTTTATATATTTATTTTAATGTTAAAATTGTCTTTTTAACTGTAATAATTAATTGAACTAGTTTTTTAAAATTTATTTCAAGTTCTGCATAAGATTTTTTTTATTTACTGTGAATTTAATTTATTCTCTCAAAGGGGCAGTAGCATAGAAAGGCTATTAGTTTCGAAACGGCATTACGCACTGTCCGTTTCACTTTGCAAATAGTTGCCGCCAAATATTATCGCCCTGTATTATATTTAAAGAAAATAAATAATGAAGAATCTGCATGAATATATGTATGTTTCTCACAATGTGAATAAACGACCACATTTAGACCCATCAAATTTTGAATAACGTAATCCTCCACCCGAACATGGGCACCAAGACTGCCGAATTTCGAATTTGTTTTAATACATTACCTATTTTGTAAAACTTTAACAATTTTTATTAAAAAACTCAACGAGTTCAAAACGAGCAATGGCAACACTGTACAGAAAATAACATTATTATCTCCAGCTCGGAAATTCTAAAGGTATGTTGTTTTCTAAAATTTTGTGATATTACTGCTGAATTGAGTTTTATTTGAGTGAGGAGGTTTACGTGCGAAGAACATAATATTCAATAAATAAATGTAACACACAAAACGCTAAAAGAAGTCCCTTTGGGTGTAATATAAAATCTGAGTACTTCCAGATTCTATTTTCATTTTTTTTCCCTCTCTCTCTCTCTCTCTCTTTTTTTTTTTCCATTACACTCAGAAAAGTTTATGCTCTTAATTTTATGAATTATTAAAATAAATAATCATCTTGTAATTTTAAAAAGTAATGATCACATAACCAAATAAATGATCTTGTAATGTTTCAATAATTTTAAAAACCTCTTCCTCAAAATGCTCATAAAATTATAAAAATATATATCAGATCTTGTTTAATTTTCCCTTAATTGCTTTAAAGCATCAGGTACTATCAATCTTATTTAATTTTACTTTATTTGTATCCAAAAGTAAGATCATAAATTTTGAGTTTAGAATTTTTACCGTTTTACCAGAGTAAAGATGTTTATACAAGAATTACGTATGGAAAAAAATGAGCAAAATGTAGTAAAAAATGCTTTAAAAAGAGATAAATTAAATCTTTTTCGAAAAAACTGTGACTTTCATAATCTCATCACTTATACAACGTATCACATTTAATAATAAAAACAGTTATGCGATATAAACGCTATAGGTTTCAGTGTTTAAAGTAAACCAGATCGGCCCTACTTATGCTTTACTTTCACTACAGGCATCAACTTCTTAGTGTTTAAACCTGATCATTCTAACTTGCCATACGGCCATTCACGGTTGTAGAAAAATTTAGGGCGCTATCACGCCACTCACCCGAAGGCGAAAATAAGAGTCTGAGAGATCAGGCAATCAGAGCTTTAAGGTGGTCAGTCAAGGTCGCGTACACTATTGCAAAAATTTCAATTTTTAAGCCATGAAAATCATCTGAGTCCTCACTGAAGAACATAAAACTGCTTAGTGAGAGATTCGAGAGAATAATATCTAATTCTTCAGAATTCAGGGTATGAGTATCACGTGACCGGTACTAGCCAATACGGTTGGATCCACATTGGTAGGTGTGGTGAGTTCAATTAGTTACATTTTGTACAAATAACACTAAAAGTCTTTGCCTGTCCAGGCACTAAGTCCATATTCTTAGTAGTAAACACAAACACAAATTCACAAACACGAAATAAATCTTGGTTAAATACTTGGATAAATACTAGGACTAAATACTTGAATAAAATGAGATAAGTTGGTAAAACTATATACATATTTACAGCTACCACTTTACATTATCGTGAATTGACCTAGGTCGTTTCACGACGCTTTCCACAGTGGGATCATAGTTCGTAAGTTCTCTCAAAGTATTGACTGGCGAATTCTCCATTTTCTCAAAAAATTTGTGAGCATCCATTAGTATCTGCTCCGGTATTGGTTTAATTTTTAAATCTTCATAAATGATCGTATTTCTAACATACCAAGGCGCATTAACCATTGCTCTTAGTATTTTATTTTGCAGTAGGTTAATTTTCCTTCGTTCAGTCTTTAACGCCCGTGGTTCAGACCGGGGCTGCATAAAGCAACATTGGTCTAATAAGTGCTAAATATAGAGTACGTTTAATTTTTAAGGGTAAGTTTAGATTTCCGTCCTATGAGATTATAGAGGGACATGTAAGCTCTATTTGCTTTGTTAACTTGGTTAATTACATGGTCTTTAAAGCTAAGTCGTTCATAAAGAATCATTTCGAGATATTTAGCGGACGAAGAGACTGGGATGATATCATTTCCAATTTTTATGTCACTATTTGTTCTCTCATTTTTCCTGTAACGACGAAAGTGAACAATATTGCATTTTGAGGTATTAATTTTATTACAAAATTTCAACGTTCTACGGCTAATCGTTTTTGAGTTATTCGTGATACATTTGTACATACGTATTTACAGATGTCACAATAAAATCGATTTTACAATCTGTTTTGGAATAAAGAATCTTTTATTTCGTCCGACATACAGATAACATGTAAAAATAGTAGAATCAAAATTATTATTATTAAATTAATCAAATCAAATGAAAATTATTATTATTATTAAAGGTATTGCATTTTGAGGTTTTAATCCTTCCAGCGCTGAAAATAGGCGGCGACAAATTTCACGTAGAGTTGGAGGTTTTTTAGAGCTAACTGCGGGCTTCTTGATTGCGACAAAATCACTGTGGCCGTCTGCATATTTTAGTGTTTTGGACACCAATGGATTAGGTTTAAGTAATTTATAAAAATATTAAAAACCTTTGGTGCGATAACTGAGCCTTGAGGGACCCCACTTTGTATTACTTTCTTTTGTGACAGAGAATCTCCAACCCGAACTTGAAAAGTTCTTCTCTTCAGATAAGAAATTATGAGCTTAACAAAACTGATGGAGGAACATGATATTATTGATTTTATAATCCTAGCAGTCGTGCTAGACTCTGTCGAACGTTTTCTCCAGGTCTAGGAAACTCGCCGCAACTCCTGTCTTGTGAAAAAAAAACGCTGGAAATAAATTCTACTATATTAAGTACTTGGTGGGTCGTGCTGTGGTGCTTTCTGAAGCCGAACTGCCCCGGGTCGATCAGATCAAGGCGTTCTAGGAGACTTGAGATTCTGAAGTTAAGAGCTTTCTCGAATACTTTGCCAATCGCCGGTAAAACGCTGATGGGACGATAACTGGTAGCTTCCAATGGGTTTTCCCCCGGTTTTAAGATCGTAATAATTATAGAGTGTTTCCACTGAGAGGACGGCCCTACTCCTTCTTGAGGACATGCGGGTGGCGCACGCTCCGCCCACTGGGTTAGTCTATTTCTTATAAGGTCCATGTCTGTACGCTGCAGGTGACGGCCTGTTGCTCGGTATGACCACAATGCGGCCACGTTCAAAGTCGTTTAGTTGTCTGTAAGGTCTTCGATATCGTCGTCATGGCATCTTTAGTTGCTTCTTTACGGAATTACAATGGCAGCAACAAAAAGATAAATTTTCCGCTCTGTCATTGGTTTCCTACTTTGCGAATTATACACTAGAAATGCGTGCTATGATCGCAATTCCTGTTCATTTGCCTTGAAACTTTGATCATTTGCATGTTCGATCAAGATGCTTTTGCATACCAAATTTTGTCACGATCGCAAAAGTCCGTGTGCTTCGATTTTTTTGCAAAAGAGTGTATATATAGAGAGATATTTTGATTATTACGTCTTTGTACGAAATAAAAGAAGTATTCTAATGGTAAAAAAATTCGGGTTTCAGATTTCATTGGAAATATTCATTTTGACAGTTCTCGAATCCAATTTGATTCTACTATTTTTACATGTTATCTGTATGTCGGACGAAATAAAAGATTCTTTATTCCAAAACAGATTGTAAAATCGATTTTATTGTGACATCTGTAAATACGTATGTACAAATGTATCACGAATAACTCAAAAACGATTAGCCGTAGAAAGTTGAAATTTTGTATACAGAACTGTTGTAACATTGAGTTCTGCACTTCCCTTTCTAACTGCAATGGGAAGTAGCAAAAGTATACCTATATATCTCTCGCGCGGACAGCCGCCTAAAACAGTTATCATAAAAAAAAAAAAAAAAAAAAGTGTTAAAAAAATAAAACTAATTAAAAAAAACCGAAAGGTTTCATATTTTAAATTACGTCTAAAGGAGCGTAATATCTTGTTCTACGCACTCAAACCATAAAATTAAATTCAACAGCATTATCGCAAAGTAATTTTACAATGAGCATATCTTTAGAATTTCCGGTACAGAGTCTCACGCGCAGGTGATATTTTTTCCCCGTACAGTGTTGCCATTGATCGCTTTGAAATCGTTAAGTTTGTTAATCAAAAATTCGTTAAATGTAACAAAAAATGAGATCGATTATAAAACAAATACCAAATTCTAAATTACGGCGTTTCCGCATGCCCATATTGCATGGAAGATTACGTTATTCAAATTTTGATGGCTCTACGTACCGTTGTTTTATCACAACGCAGAAACATACATACATTCATGCAGATTCTTCATTATTAAATTTCTTTAAATATAATACAGGGCGATGATATTTGGCGGCAACAATCTAAAAAGTGAAACAACGCTTATCGTGAATGGACGCAAAATGCCAAAACGAAATGAATAGTCCCTCTGGCAAATTGTCCCTTTGGACTAATAATGGTTTTTATGACCTTAGTTGGTGTAATTTCATAAAACTACTGAATATTTCTAATTACACAACTCGTAATTTTAATGTTTATTCAAGTCAATTGCATAGAAAGTGGGAGAAAAATATTCTTAAAACTCTGTTTTTTGAAAATCTGTCTTAGTTTACTACTCAGTGACCTTCTAATGTAATATGGCAATGTATAGTGCATGTTATTTGAATTTGACGGGTATGAATGCAGCGTACACTTTTAGATTAAGAATGTGTATCAGGCAACTGTTAACATGTTAAATATACAATCTAATTTCTATTTTCCGGTAAATTATTTAATTTCTTTTCATTCCAATAATTACAAACTGAAACGTTTTCAAAAATTCCAAAAATAAATGCAATCATTGAAACGTAACTATAAACTTTAAAAAATGGTAAAAATGATTATACCAAATAATTGTGTACTGCATCCCTTATTCTTTTGATATAACGATCTATGGTGCATTCCCACTTTCGTTGCATAAGCTTTCATAATTTTAGCTGCAGGTCTGCCGCAAAGTTGCATTGTCGCCTTTTTTACGCATTTGGAAAACCACCTCATGGAACTGAAAGAGATTAAAAAAAAAATATTGTATTTTTTGTTAAAATTTAACAATACGTATATTTACAATCATTCGCTATTTTAGAGTTCTGCCAAACATAACATATAAAACATAGAAATAACTGGACAGAATCAAACATTTCTAAAGAATTCTTTAATGAATTTAGCAACTTTCTTATTTTCAGAAGCTGAATAAATGTAACAGCAAAGTTTGAGAGAAAATTTGGATACTATCTGTATAGACCACATGAGAAAGGTGTGTAGTTATTCTGAATAACTCAGCAAAATCAGGCATAGCTAACCACAACATTTTGACAAAGAGGCCACACTCCTTTCCTCATATAAAGCAACAAAGTACAAGGCATCTAAATCCCAAAATTCTCTAAGAAATAAGTTCCATCCTGAAATAAACAGCTGAGACAATCCTCATGTATTTTGAAAACAAAATCTGTTCTTGACACCAAAAAAGATTTCCTTGTAGAGCCTATTAAATCATTCACACTTTTTGTTGAAATTTATTTAAACTTATTTCCTCGCAAATTTTGAAATTAAGTATTCTGGTAAATTTTTGTCGTGCGGAATTCAAACGTCTTACAATTTTATTCTTTCATAACAAGGATGAAAATTTCCCAAATACAAGTATAGAAACTGGGAGACTGCATTGAAATTTAGATTTCGATATTTGTCGAAAATTAATTTTCTTTTAATTTTGTATATATATATAGTGTGTGTGTGTGTGTGTGTGTGTGTGTGTGTGTAATAATTTTAAAATGCGTAGGTGAAGATACTGGAACTATTTTAACAACTTAAACGATATTGCGTAGATGACTGTTAAGATTGTAGATGCTGGAAGGTCGGGCTGAGTGGAAAAGCATGATGACGCATTTATCACAATGAAGGATGAAGAATTACTTTCTTTAATTTTTTACGTATGTCAAATCTTTATTTATTACATATGTATAAGCTTTTTCAGACAATATATTTCTTAATTATATTTGAATACGATAAGGTCATCTTAAGCAAGTAAGCGGCAGTGTGGAAAAGTAGCGAATTGCCAGCACGAAAGAGTAAGCGAAAAAGGTGCAGAGCGACGCAGTACTTCAGAGGAAGAAGGGTGGGAGTCGGAAAAGTTTCAGTTCCAAGTTTTGGCTTACAATTAATTTGGTTGGACAAGAAGTATCTGTATTAAAACGTTACGTAACATAGAAAAATCTGGAATTTGGCAAAAAAGATGAATTTATTGGAGAGGTCACCAAATTTAGAATGTTAATTCCGAGGTTGGCAATAATTTTCCAAAGCACCTATCGTATTTTGTTATATCTTACATATGTACATATATATGTTTGTGAAGAAATAAATGAGCCTAAATAGATTGTAATATCAATGAACAATTTTAATGACAGAGATTAACTTAAACATAGTTGCATACAGCAGAGAAAAAGGGCGAAGATGTAAGAATGATATACATATACATACATACGTAATAAACAGTTACGTCATCATCTCCGCGCGGATAAACACGAACTGCGCATGCGTCAGGAGAAGCTCTCTTAAGCTAAACGTCGTATTATAATTTATGATACAACAATCCCCCTTTCGACGTTTGGCGGCTGAAAAAAAAATAAACATTAATCATTTACAGTTATTCCAATTAATTTACAGCACTTAGAATGTTTCGAAGCAGTCAATGTTTTTGTCAGTACATCAGCAGGCATTTTCTCTGTTGGCACATATTTAACGTCTATTTCATTTCTTTCATAAATTTCACGAATGAAATGATGTCTAATATCTATGTGTTTAGTGCGTGAGTGATAAAACAGCATTTTTCATAAGCTTCTGTGCACCTTGATTATCACAATATGTAATGGTTGGATAATCAGCAGTAAAATTTAATTCTTTAAGAAAACGACGTAAATAAACTGCTTCTTTGGCACTTTCTGAAAGACTGATGTACTCTGCTTCAGTACTTGATAATGCAACAGTTTTGTTGCTTTCGTGATTCCCATGTTATCGGATTTCCAGCTAGCTTGAATAGGTAACCTGTATACGATTTTCTAGTATTAACATCAGACGCCCAGTCGGCATCGGTATATCCAATAAGTGCTTTTTCCAGTCTTTCGAAATTTTAAACAATAATTTTTAGTTCCTTTTAAGTATCGAAGAACGCGCTTTGCAGCCAACCAGTGTAATTTTCCAGGATTGTTATTAAAATTGGCTCAGGTGACTGACGGCATATGTAATATCCGGCCTAGTAAACACAGAAAGATACATAAGCGAACCAATTAGACGGCGATAAGGTGCATTGTTTCATTTCTTCCTTTTCAGTTTCAGAAGGACACATTTCTTTACTTAATTTTACACTAGGATCTAAAGGAGTTGCTACTGGTTTTGCATCTTGCATATTAAACCTTCGTAGAATATTATCAACATATTTCTGCTGAGATAAACTAATAGAATTATTATTTACATCTTGATTAAATTCTATTCCAAGACAATAATGAAGTTTGCCTAAATCTTTAACATGAAATTCTTTAGAAAGATAACCTTTAAGTTCAGCATATAAATCACAGCTATTTGTTGCTATTATTAAGTCATCCACATATAAAATTAGAATTAACTCACCTTGAGATGTTTTCATCCTGTATACACACTTATCTGATTGTAATGGTTGTAATCCAAAGTTTTTTGAGTTTTTTGTCTAATTTTTCATACCACTGTCGTCCACTTTGTTTCAAACCATAAAGAGACTTTTGCAAAGCATAAACATAATCAGGATTATTTTGGTCTTCAAAACCTTTAGCTTGTTCCATGAAATTTCTTCTTTTAAATCTCCGTTAACATAAGCCATAACAAAATCTAGTTGATATAACATAAGGTCTTGTTCAGCACTGTATGCAATCACAGTTCTTATAGAACTTGCTCTGGCTACTGGAGCAAAGGTTTCATTAAAATCAATTCCAGGTTCCTGTGCAAATCCTCTAGCAACCAATCGAGCTTTTCTCTTTTGAACTGTTCCATCTGCATTTATATTTCGTTCTAAGAACCCAGCGACATCCTATTACCTTTTTGTTCTGTGGTCGCTTTACTAATTTCCATGCACCATTTTTAACAAGTGCTTCATACTCACTTTGCATAGCCTTATGCCATTCTTCAGCATAACTTCCATTTAATGCTTCTTCTAATGTCGGATTTGTATCTTCTTCAGCAATTTGTGCTTCTTCCTTTTCTATGTTTATATTGTGGTACTCCTTTTTTTGGTCTTCCTGGCTTCCCAGTCTTGACTTTCTTTGGACGACCTGGCCCCCTTTTAATCTGCATTTCAGGTATTGCTTCGGAATCAGAATCTTCATTATCAGATGATTCAGCAGATGCTTCTGCTATATTTGAGGGGTCTTCTGTTATTTCATCAGCCGATATTTGCTTTACATTCAGAGGTTCTTCCTTCTTTTTATCAGGAATATTTTCGAGAAATAAAACTTCTAAATCTTTATCATAATTAGTACAGTTTTCAAATTCATCAATGAATCTAACATCTCGGCTTATAACGATTTTTCTGGAATTTTTATTCCACAGCCTGTATGCTTTCGATTCATTTGAGTATCCAACAAAGATATGTTCTTCTGATCGAGGATCAAATTTCCCTTTAGACCTTTTATTAAGTACAAAACATTTCTGTCCGAATACTTTGAAGTGAGATACTGTTGGCTTGATGCCAAAAAATAACTCATATGGTGTTTTGTTTACTCCCAGGCTTCGATTCGGGCAACGATTACGAATATAAACAGCACAAGTTCAAGGCTTCAGCCCAAAAGGATTGGGGAAGATTACTTTGTAGTAACAAACATCTGGCCATTTCAGTTAAAGTGCGATTCATGCGTTCAGCTCTCGAATTCTGTTGAGGAGTCATAGGCGCAGAGAATTCTCATTTAATCCCGCATTCTTAAATATATTTATTAAATTCTTCTCCGTAATATTTGTGACCATTATCAGTCCGAAGGATTTTTTATTTTCTTTCCTAGACGATTTTCGAACCGCAGCTTTGTATTTAATGAATGCATTTTTCACTTCATCTTTAGTTTTAAGAAAACTGACTTCGACATAACGCGATTTGTCGTCTATGAAAGTAACAAAATAACGCGAACCAGCATGGGATGGGACTCTCATAGGTCCACACAAATCTGAGTGAATCAAGTTCAGTAATTCATCACTTTGAAATTTTGATTCTTTTTGAAAAGGTTGCACAGTTTGTTTACCTCGGATACAGACTTTGCAGTCTTTTAGAGATTCAGTGTTATTAAAATTTAAATTTCTAACCATGTTATCAGACTTAAGTCTTTTCAAATCAGACTCATTTAAATGACCTAATTTAAGATGCCACTTTACAAAATCACTTACCTGTGCTATTGCAGCTGTTTCAGTGCTTGGATGTATATAATAAAGATCACCATGACGAATAGCCTGCACTAGTATAGATCCATTTGGTTCTATTATTCTAGCATGTCGTTCTGTAAAAATCACTGAACGATTATTTGCAGTAGCTTTAGATGTTGACAGCAAATTACATTTTAATTCCGGAACACATAACACATTTTTGAGCGTAAGTTTAATTGTCTTATTTCCGTTAGGTACTGTTATAAGGACATTTCCAATTCCTGTAATTTTTGCTGTTTTTGTCAACTGCTAGCTTTATGGTTGAATTCATTCAAGGGTGAAATTCTGAAAATAACCTTCTGTCATTGCACATGTGAGATGTACAGCCACTATCTAAGCACCATGAGGAGGTCTTCTGATAAGCATTGTTTACTGCTAAACTAATCTGCTCTTCATAATTAGAAGCCATCATAGAACCTTGATTTCCCTTATTTGATTGCGCATATTTTCTATCAGCTATTTTCTTTCTGCATTCAGATGCCTTGTGCCCAATTTTCGAACAGTAATTACACTTCAAGTTTCGAAAATTTCTTTCAGCTGGAAAATTTTTGTTTGAATTTACCTTCCATTTTT